GTGTTGCTGAGCCAGAGATCTTTTATCCGACCTTCAGGTCTCTGCTGCGCCATTCATATCATGAATACCTCAGTCTATTATGTCCATTGGATCTATCTTAATATTATCTGGCTTAGGATAAAAATATGTATGGAACATGCTGTAGCATTGGACTCTATTATTATAATAATATTATCTCATAATGCACAGACAATAAAGAATATCATTTATCCATATGTAATCTCAACAGTGAATGATTAAGTACCAGAAGAGACTAATGTCATATTATGGGATAGTCACATAGCAAGTATTGCAGGATTTATTTGTCTCTGTCAATATCTATATACGGACTTATGCCTCAATATACAACAGAAGGACGTTATCCTTCAACAGGATAATGATCCTAAACATACGTCCCAATATACCAAAAAATTCTTTAAAAAGCACAAGATAAATGTTCTAGATTGGCCTTCTTATTCACCAGACTTGAACCCAATCGAAAACTTATGGGTTTACTTGAAGTGCAAGCTAGCTGCTTATGACACCCTACCCAAGAATATGGACGAACTCTGGCAAAGAGTAGGAGACGTATGGTACAATAAAGTTACAGCCGATTTATGCCTAAAACATATCGAAAGCATGCCAAAAAGAATTGAAGCTGTTATAAAAGCCAAAGGTGGTCAAACAAAGTACTAACTGCACGTTTAAATATAAATCTGACTATCGCAAAAATGAAAATTTTACGCATATGCAAATTAAGCTCTATAGTTCAAGTAATTCCAAAGAACGCTAATATATTTGAACGTTATATCATTAGAAACCCAACAATATATACTTTCTAATGATATTAGTTTGGAGGGGGGTTTATTAATCATATCAGGTGCAATAGTGATTTGAATTGGAAATTTGTTTGATTTTGTAAAACATTGTAACACTTTTGTGAGTCACTGTATAATTCACTTTATGAAGGATAAAGATGAATTATACAATATTGCAAACCAGAAATAATTAGAAACTACATAAACTCTAATATATGAGTACCGTGAATTAAGTGTTGTGTTTAGTTGACAGCATCATATGAGATGTGGAGACCTCGTATACAAATTATACAAGATCCTCACACCTCATTACTGCTGAAATAATATAAAGTAGAGTAGGAAACGAATATAGAATAAGTGATGATTCTTATACGAGATTAGCTACCTCGTATAAGGCTGAACAGGTTGTCATTTAGGATATATAGTTTACTTATTTTGCTATAATACGTTACTATATGTTGTATCCAACATCATACTGTATTACGCGTAGATTATTACATAATGCTAAATAAGAGACTACAGATCCTTATAATGATTGGTTTAATCTTGAGTGATAGCTTTGTCAGAACAATTCTTATCGATCTCGGAAGAAGAGATCATCTGTATGTACATCCGACACAACATCATATGAGTAATTGACTTGATTTAGAAATAAATTAATATAGTATTTGGATTTGTATAAATCAGATAACTTTATTTTGCAGATCAAGCAATATACATATATCTCATCTATTCAAGCTATTATTCAACTTATTGTTCCTTCACTTTAACTCTTTACCTCCTGGCAAGATTCAAAAGACTTCAACAGAGACATCGGCAGAATCAAGGAATAGTTTATCCTGCCCGTCCCGTTAGCTATAATGAATCTGCCGAGATACGGGTCAAAGGAATCTTCCATCAGATCAACTCACTTACCTCCATTTACCGATCCAATCGGTCAAGGCACCGCTCTGTCACGATTAGCCGTGCAATAACAATTGGGTATGTCTTTTCTTTTATCATCAGGTCATCTTCTGCTCAAGGGTCCCGATAGAAAAAGTTTTTTACAATATCCACAAATATAAATAGAAGTACTTTTTTCCTACATGGTTTTTGTCTTCATTCTTTATCTGAATATTCTACGAAATAAAAGAAGATAACTTGGTCTTCACAGATTTCCTTTTTGTTTTCTTTCTATTGTGATCTATTTCTACCATATACAACACTCATGATAGTTTTAGTTCAGTTGTATTAATAGTTGAATACCCGTTAGTAACCCCGTTTTTCATATAGAAGTATCATTCTCAACAAATTTGAATAAAGAGCATCTTTGTTGTGTCTGGTCATTTTACTGTCTTATTTTATTTTTATAGGTCTTTCAAAGTAACTGGATATATCATTATGTTTTTTGTTGCTAGTACTGTATAATAAGATATACATACAGCTTCTACGCAGCAATCCAGCACAACAGCCTCCAACAATTTCGTTTTCTCTACGGAAAACAATATCACATAAGGAGGTCAGAACGGAGTCATCTGTAATTACTTTGGGTTACAACTACAGTGCCATTGTTGGTGAGAGGCCGGCCGGCAACTTGTTACATGCCCATCCATGGTGTAAACTCTCTGTTAGTTTCCTGTATCTTTTATTTACTATCTATCAATATACAATATCACAATCCAAAAAAAAAACTTAGCTTACAAGATGTAAAGGAAAAGAACATCCATATTAGAAATTTAGTATTTTTTATTATTGAAAATAAAGCGTGGCTCGAAGAGTATGTATCACATTTTGGTCTTCGTTTCATCAATAATGGTATTGCATGCAAATGATCCATATTAATTATTAACAGACATTTATCAATATTCGATATAAACAGACAGATTTTTACTTAAAACTCAAAGTCATTTATTAACGAATTACGATCGAGTTGTGCTTTTTCTAAATATGATTATGAAAGAGTGAGTTTTGCGTGTTATAATGTTCAGATATTACATAACGATCCCAGAAAAAGCCGTTGGCATACTAAAGCACTAAAACTAAAAGCTCTGAATTCATCTTCAAAATCATAATTTCAAAATTTTGTAATTCATGTACCTATAAGCATTCAAACGCCAAATATTGCTTGTACAAAGACGAGTTAAATAAATTTTACATTCCAAGATAACAAGCAGTTAGGATGCAGTCTATTATTTTGCTTTGCATTTCATGAGATCAAACTATGAAGTCCTTCTGGTATACTGTGTAATTTATTCAATAATTCATTAGTGACATGTATGCATCAATATGCTGACCATTACTTTGTACTGTGTATGCGCATACGAAAAGCCACTATGAATCAGATCTGATGCTTCCATACAAGTAAAAGCTTTTTTATTATATTCAAGTGCATTTGAATACGCCTGGCATTGATAATAGTATTCAGCGCTAAGTTGATAACATTTAGATCTCATAGACTGTTAGATTATCAACTTACTGAGAGTAGGTCTGAGTGCTTTATAGTACATAAGTGGAAGGTTAATGGGACGTAACAGTCGTTTTGAAAGAATAGAATACATTGAAGATAACATGCTAATGTAGAAAGCTACAAAATTTAACAACAAAGGTTTTTTAATCTACTGTAGGCGCTTCATTAGCTTCATTAGCCACACTGAAGAAAAGTAATTACAATTGTATTTCGTTCGTTCAAATTTTTAAAACACTCTAAACGTTCTAATTTAGAAAAGTAAGTAGGTGTACATGGTTCTTAACGACAACTGCTTTTCATCAAAGAAACGTTGAGATAAGATCAAAGAACAAATGGTCCGTCTTTTATTCTGGTCAAGTTCATTGAAAGAATAAAGACCAGACAATAAAGTTAATTGATCTTGGCCTTTCGGTCCTCCATAAGTGGAGTCCTTCAGCTGTAACAAATGAGCAAAGTGCGGTGGAGAAGTGGCTTAGCCTATATTCTTTTTCCAATTGATTTTTTCAATGTAAGTTCTTGTTCAAGACTCTTCACACTTTATTTTGCGACATAATGAGCAGTAAAAAGCCTGAACTAGTGCCTGTAAACTTAAAAGTCATTTCTGCAACTGAAGCCAGCATAAGTGCTGCTACTAGCTTCATCGATAAATTCCTACACGAAGGTGTTGCCATTCACGCTGCCAACAATACAGTTGCTTCCCAACTTCATCAACTTCACCAAGGTTTAAAGGAGGAGAAAAGGAGAAAACGCCAACCTTCCAACAAGAAAGAAAAAACGGAATTTTAGATCTGCTTACAATTGCTATTCTTCATTTCTACCAGAGCTGTACACTGTCCTCGTTTATCTTATTTATGTCAAACTTAATAGCCGATTTCAAAAAATGAAAGGAATGGGTGTTCCGCTTATTCTTTTTCGTTGCATTCTCCTGCTTTCACAAACACACATTTTTTATTCATTCGTTGAAGAACTCGAAGTATACACCATCACTTCCTTTATGTTGATGATGCATTCCTAATCTCTCTTTTGTATATACAATATTTGCCACAACATTCTTATCTGGTTTTTCTTTATAACGCACAAGCATCGGAATAAATATCCTAATATTGATTGGATTGTATGCCATGATATTCACACCTTAATTTACAAATGTCTCTTGGCATGTCCTAGCTGCTTTCATTACAATGTCTTTTGTTCAACTTTCAGTGTTACTTTCCGTTTCGACAAAAGGTCTGCTTGTTGATCCACTAACGTAGCCTTTTCTCTCGCTGTAGAGACTAATGACCCTATAACCAAGCAAGAGCAGTAATAAAAGCTACAACAGATTTAGTGGAGCATGTATCTTATTCGTAATCATAATAATTTTGTAAACATTTAATAGATAATCGACCTCAATCATATTTCGTGAAAGTTTTCATAAGGACGAATAGCGTACCATTGATCACTGTTAAATATGTCTTGGTGTTATATTGGCTACAGAAGGCCTGTCATTATAATAACCCATAGTTCTATTGTACACGCCAAAATCATTTTCAACTATTTGGTAGACAACAATCAAGTGCTACAAACTTACTGGCTAAAAGACTGAGAGACGCGTGCTTTTACACAGTGTTAATGTAGTTCATACTCATGTTTGTATGTTAGAGAGCAACAAATTTTCAATTTGTACGCTGCCGTCATCGACTTCGCAAATTTTTTGCAGTCTCCTTTCCTAAAAGGTGCGTGCCTGCTGTGTGTGGCAAATGAATTTTCTGCCCTTCATTTCTAATTTCAACCCCACATTTAACAGGGAACCAGAAAAAAAAAAAGGGCAGTATAAGACTTTAACTCTCGCTATTGTTATATTGATTGATTTTACTGGAGAAGAGCTTTATACCACTTCACTTCATCTTACTAATGCGTAAGTCTAAGACATATCTAAAAGATGTGTTTCAATTGGTGAATAAGACAGCTTTTATGGATGGAGTGACATATAGCAGTCAATATGCTCACGCACGGAATCCCCTACTCTACTTTCTACAACCAACACCATACTATATATTTATTCCTTCAAAAAATATACCCAAACAGCGTAAGCAAGTACTTATATCAGCAGTCAATTGTGTTTGTAAGAGAAGATATACGAGTATCTCGACGTCAACAGCAGCGACTGTAGAGATCACCCATGGTACAGTAAATACAGCAATGACACCGTCGAGAAAATGTCCGAAAGTACGATCGATAAATCTACTCAACCTAGCCGAATCAGTAACTTTAGAAGATTTAGATCGAGCTATACAATCCCGACAGACTGATAAAGCTTGGTCCCTATTTACCAATATAATTACCCAACAACAACATAAAGCAGCAGCAGCAACAATAAGACAACCATCGCCAATACTATCCTTAACGGCTTGTTCGAAATTATACGCACTCCTCAACTTTGCTAAAGAGCTATCTTATAAATCCACAAAAATACGACATCTTCGACAGCAACAGATGGAGCAACTCGTTGATTATGTGATAAGGCATTACCCACATTGTAGTTCAAAAGAGCAGTTTTTTGCATTGGTAGACGAAATACCCATCATGCGTTACAAGGTTATTTTAAAGCAAATCCGGAGAGGAAATCCGGTAGCAGCTTGGACAAAATTCATACGATTCCACTTTCAAAACCTTCGAAAGCAAACTGTTCCAACAGCGAATATGGATAGCAATAAATTGCCACGAAACGCATGTTTAGAATTGATGTCTTTGGTTCTCAAATTGAAAAATGTGACCAACAAAGAAAAGAGGCGTAGATTAAGAGTTATTGCTCTATACGGTGCGGGAACGTCAGGTTTCGATAGTCGATACTTGTCATCCAGTCATCTGTTTCGATTAGCTTATATGTTCAATGAATACCGAGAGAATGATTTACTTACAGCACACCAAATCATCGACAGATTCGTCATGTTATTATCGACAGAAGAAAATGAAAAGAAAAGGGCTGATGCCTTAGATGAGTTGATTTGGAGAATTATTCAATGTAACGACATGAAGAAAGCAACAGAGGTTTTAACTTTTGCTCAGCAAAACTTAAATGTAGAGATAAATGAAATGATATTCGTAAATCTAATGGATGGGTTTCTACGGCAGAGGAAACCTACAGAAGCTTTGAGCGTATTCGAGCAACTACTAAACACGAGACAAAATCCAACCGTTAGAGCTTTCAATTCTATATTGAATTTATTTACAAAGCAAGGATGGAGGCATAGATCAGAGCAGGTGTTCCGTTCCATGCTGAAATGGGGAGTCAAGCCTGATGCAGCCACCTTTACAGAAATGATACGAATAAACGCTAGAGATAACAACTATAAAGCATGTGAACAATATTATTACGAGATGTTACAAAGAGAGATCCAGCCCAATGTGTATACCTATAGCGCCCTTATAGAAGCGTCCTCTCGATCACAGAGCATAAAATCCGTCTTTAAATGGTTAGATACTATGATGTTGAATCAAGTTCAACTAAACGAAGTGATTATCTCCAACATCTTAACAGCAATATCCAACCTGTTGCCACATAGTAATGTACGCAATAGCAAATATAGTAATTACCAGCTTCAACAACAACAGCAGCAGCAGCATCCTGATCATTATCATCACTTACTAAATACAATCTGTCAAATTGCACATCAAGCATCTCTGTATGGCATAAAAGTTGATACAGTGCTTTATACCATCTTATTACAATTGCAGTCTCAGTTTTCTGGCATAAAAGGGTCTCTTGAAATACATCAATCCATGATAGACAATTTGGTTGCTCCCAACGCTCATACTTATACTACTCTGATAACAATATGTGGTAAAAAACACATGCCCGAAGTAGCACAACAAATATTTAAACTGATGCAACGGTGTAAGAATGAGGAATGCAAACCGAATACGATTACCTACAGTGCCTTAATAGATGTATGGCAAACAGTAGGAAAGCCTCATAAAGTGACTGAGCTTATCACAGATTTTTTGGTTCGATGCAAATCTGACAAGTCTGGACGATTTTGGATTGATGAAAGGTTGCGACAACGGATAAAAAAACAATATTGCTAAATCTGTACAAATACAGCATTTCTGTAATATAAGTCTAATACCTTTTGCTACTCTATGGCAATAAACCTTTGTAAAAATACGTCTCTCTGATTATACCATTAAAATAGAATCAACTTTACTCACAGTTCAGAGAATCTTATGGTTTGCCATGGTTTATCATAGAGAAATAAATGGTTGAAGAATACACTGTTCTTGAAAGGTAGCCTTTCTTTTTGCAGAGAATCGGTAGAAGTGCGTCTTCATTCTCACAGTATTTCATAGCCAGTTTTGACCAAGCCTGCGCTCTTACCGACTGTAGTAAAAGCCTGCCTAACAAAATCAACACTTGTAGGTTTCGAGTTGATTATTTGAAAATGAAAGCTAATAATCCTACGTGAATGCCTCTCTCATAAGAGATAGACCACTTCTCTCTCCTGTATGAGTATAAAAATGCTTCACCCTTGGGGAAAATTTTTGAGTGATTTTTCGTTGCAAGCTCTATTGTTCTTGTAAATGTCTTAACTGCTTCAATACTGTCGGCTATTATCTCATTCTTTTTAAGGTGGTTTACGAATTTCCCTTTTAAATTTTGCTCATCCTTCTTCAACGGGGTTGGGTAAGTAGTAGTAGGGATGTTACTTCCCGTGCATGTTCGCGAAGTGGGCTTGCCTAGACGACTTTAAAGGTTTGATGATTGTAGCATTATCCAATACATTATACACATTCTGCGGAACCAATTTATCAATTGTGGCTGTCAATTCGTTCACAGACAGCAAAAAAGTGCTTAGAGTGTGAGATCCCTCTTCAGGCCAGCAGCTACCTTTTGTATTTTGCGATTATTCGTTTTCAGAAGTTGATGGGAAAGCGCATCGCTTCGTACGCGGATAGGGAACTACCGACGCTTAAACTGACACCCTCCGGCTGAACTTCCACTTCTGCTTAATAGAATCAATAACGAGCTCACCAACTTTGGCAGAATTAGATGAACTTCAAATGCTTGGATTGTGTTGATGATTCCCTATCATTAGGATACTTTTGTCACCATGCTACTACCTGGAGCAGAGGTATGCAGACGTTTCCAAATTTGCTTCACTCAGTCGCTCAATCCTAGGTTGAGCGTAAAGAACTAGATCTGCACTAGCTTTGATAAACGCAGGCTCTCTCAGATGCAGTGCTAATGAGCCACAGATAAAAAAGAGGGATGCAATGTCTTACGAAAATGTGTTAATGTTTTTGGTCATAAATCAAACTTTTTTTACTCTCGATATTCCTATGTATGACAGACATGGAAAGAATAAAACCTTTGAAGGCAGAAAATACAATGTAGATAACTTTAACACTTGAAAAATTTTATTTACGTATCTCATCATCTATGATTGCGCGCCATTTAAAGGGCCAATCTGATATGCTCATTGAGTACTTTATTTTGTTATTGCCTGGTATATGAAAATAGACGGTATACAAAGTGTTATTTGATGGAATACGACGACATGTAAAGCGAATTGAGAAAGTGTTATGACATCTCTAGGTGAATAAATCATTAGAGAGGTTTCACCTTACTTAATATAAGTATAGCCCACATCTGAAGTTGATACAGCTTAGTGTTTTTATCTGTTTCTTTTGCGCCGCTACATTTCATTGAATATAGATAAATTTTCCATAATTTAAAGTGCTCATCCAGCGATTCCGTTGTAATAAAGTTATTCAGATACTTTGATAATATCAACCGCATAGTTCTTCTCTGTTAATTGGCTCTTCGTATCATCTCGCCATAGCCACAGTCATTACACGCTGACAAGGTGTAACAAATGCAAATCTGCAAATAAAGACCTGCGATGACTTGTTGAATTCCTTCTTCAGCTGTTCCACAACTGTCTGCAATGGTATCCACGGTTTGCTCTCCTTGATGACCGAGTTATACAGAATCATAAACGTCACCAGTTGAGCCTCCCTGAGCATGCTGTTGTGGTGGAGATATACACGGTCACTAACTGGGATGACAACATTGCCGTTGATGCCGAGTTCAATCCATACACTAAAGCTAAGCAAATCAAAGAGTTTGAAAATTGTAGCAGGCATGTGAAGAATGTCGCAGAAAGGTTCAAACGAGCGTCACCAACAGCTAAAAGCGTTAGAGGATGAAAAGATGTAGTCAGTTTGTGGTGTTTACTTGAATAAAACTGGTAACAGTTGTAAATCGATGAGTATAAACTTAGTCTCTTATTGGTCTTTGGATAAAGTAGAAAGAGTATTTACTCTGTAAGGTTTAATGGGAATTATATTTTTTCAAGACGCCAAAGTAACAGAGCAAGTGCAGAGAGCATTCATTGTATGGGTTGCAATGACCATTTTTTGCTCAAGACCTTTACCATCAGCAGCAGACACCGCTCCCACAAAATAGGCATCCTCAACAGGTAACGCGTTACAATAAAAGCAAAAAATCATAGGTCAGCTAAATGGTTGGTCCCTTGGAGATGCTTGCAGTGGAATTTCTTTCATCCATCGATGTTCCTGACAGAACCCAGAGGTGTTATCTGATCGAAGCTTCACATCACAGTATTCATGCTGGCAATGTTTTTTCGTTTGGTTTCCAAGACTTGTGTATTGTGCAAAGTTCATGCGTGTTGTTAGACCTAAGGGTCGGTGAGCAGTCTGGATGCTTGCAGACCGACGTGTTGGGGACAATGGTACCAATTTCCTGCATGTTTTGATACTGCAAAGGAAACAAAGAGAAGGGGCAATTTTCATTTTGTGCTTTAAACATGGGCAAGCAACTATCAGAAGTAGCCAACGACTCGTGATTGGCGCTCTGCTTCTGCCCATTTTTGTTCAATAATGATAAAGCAATTACACACATTGACCATCACGTTACAGACTTATTTATCTGTAGAATCTTTAAGTCTCCCGTTGAGGGCAGACAAACACAATCGATGTGGCGCTTTGTGATTGACAGCAAAATGTACTAGGTCTTCTACGACCAGCCCACATCTTTTGAGCAATAGGGTACATCTTTTTAGCCACCATTACGTCACACAATTCCATCAAATACTACAATTTGTGCAATAGAGTATCTGATGGTTTTCTTTCCTTTTGTACGTATTATAAGTATGCCTAGAAAAGTGGCGAATATACATTATCATTCTGATGGATACAATGTTTACAGTATACCGCAATTTCCGATACACATAAGCAATGTTAAGGATACGTACTTGTCGATCTTCTTTTCTTTGATGAGAGCTTCAGCTTGTAATAAAGCTCGGGTCATGTCTTTTGATTCTGCTAAAGAGTATATGATTCTAAAGCAACTTGTAAGAAAGGAAGATAAAGATAGAGTAAAAGAAATGAGAGAGTAGTATATTTGATAACAGTTAGATAGAAAAACAGAAGTGAGGAAAAAGTGGAAGTAGTATAGCTGACAACTTTTCTTAAATCAGATCGCCCATTTTATTCAAGAAAAGTGTGAATCAGAAGCGAAAACACGTTAATGGTCCTAGGATACGTTTTGATTGTTAGTACCTTAACGCAAACATTAGCTAATTTCACTTTAAAAGACCGCTTCATTGTTTTATATGACTATAGAAGCCATTATGTAATTTTTTAGCAGATGATGAATCTAAGCTGACAGAAGCTGTTGTTTATGCTGCGCTACTCAACCTTTTTTTAATTCAACTGAGGAATGCTTTTGGAAGAAGGTAAAGTCAACTTTAAAAAATTCCTCTTCACAAGATGGATACTCCTGCACCTCGCATAATGGATGCTTCAAAAAATAGTTACTAATAAAACTGTCAAGGATGATGAAAAAGCATACAGAACTTTATTGGCTCGTTGGGTCTGAGCAAAAAAGTTAATTTGACATAGATACATGACATGCATGCAGCACAGAATCCTTAGATAATGTTCCAAATCTCCATAATTAAAGTAAGTTGTATACCACAAATGCAGTACTGGCAGACGATGGATTATTTATCGGCTGAAATGCTGCTACTTATAAAACGGTACAAGCTATTGCTTATTGGCTATATTGTTTGATATGGCAATGAGCAAACTTGTCAACTGCTCTAGCAAATTCAGCTCACAAATGTTTGTTATATCAACTTGCAAATCTGCAAAATATTGTAGGTAGGATAAAGCAAGTCTTAAAGAGAAATAAACCGTCTATAAATCGTATAATATAAGTGTTTACATTCAATAATGCACACAGAGCTTTTATGTACGAATATATTCTTAAAGTCTACTCCATTTAGGATTTTCGTGACGTCGAATAAAATCCCGTCGTTGTATTTCCCCAGACAATTTTCCCCACAAAAAGCAAAAAAGCCAACTTTTTTTTCTTTCTTTTCACTGTGAAGAACTAACAGAATGTTCAAATTAGTTGCTACCAAATCTCCATTAGCCAATGTAAGCAGAGCCTTCTTCAGAGAATGTCTTTTTAAAAGCTGGAAGAGACCTTAAATAAAAACCAAAGCGGCAGTATTCATATTAACTTTATTATGTTCTATAGCTTGCTTTACGTAACGCTGCTGTCAAATCAGTTCGTGCACCAGCAGCCACTCAGTTTTATCGTTTCTATAGTACCCCTGCTGGTAAACTATCTGTTGATTTTATTCAGCACTTTTGTAGTTACGTATATTGAATTTTTGTTATTGCCGTGAAATAGACACAGAGTACGATGTTATTGTCATTGGTGGTGGTCCTGGTGGTTACCCCACTGCCATTAAGGCTGCTCAAGAAGGACTCAAGGTACTTGGCTGATTTTTCTTTTTGGAATAATGATGGATGAGGCTCAAAGAAACTAAAAGCGTCATTTTCTTTTTTTTTTTTTTTATTTATAGGTTGCCTGTATAGAAAAGCGTGGTGCCCTCGGTGGTACCTGTCTTAACGTAGGATGTATTCCCTCCAAAGCCATGTTGAACAACTCTCACATCTACCACCAAACAAAACACGGTCTTAAGAGCCGCGGTATTGAAGTTTCTGACGTTCAACTTAATTTACCTCAAATGCACAAGGCGCGTGTGAAGGCTATTACCGGCTTGACAAAGGGTGTTGAATTCCTCTTCAAGAAATATGGTGTTGATTACATTAAGGGTACTGGCTCTTTCAAGACTGCTACTGAAATTGCTGTCGCTGGCCTTGATGGAAGCAACAGTACCTTGAAGGGTAAGAATATTGTCATTGCCACAGGTTCTGAAGTCACTCCTATTCCTGGTATTGAAATTGATGAAAAGAAGATTGTCTCCTCTACCGGTGCTCTTGAGTTGTCTGAAGTGCCCAAGAAGATGGTCGTTATTGGTGCTGGTGTCATTGGTCTTGAATTGGGTTCCGTCTGGTCTCGCTTGGGCGCTGAAGTCACTGTCGTTGAATACTTAGACGCTATTGGTGCTGGTATGGACCCTGAATTGGCTAAAAACTTCCACAAGTTATTGTCCAGACAAGGTCTCAAGTTCAAGTTGAGCACCAAGGTCAACGGTGCTAAGGTTGAAGGTGACGTTGTCAAGGTGGATGTCGAAGCTTCCAAGGGCGGTAAAGCTGAAACTGTAAGTATTTTTTTTTTTTTGCATTTATTTCATTTACTTTTCCAAGGACAACGACATGATGTGTACTCTATTTTGGTATACGGCAAAAAATATTGTGATATAAGCAGGCAAAAAGAGAATGAGAGGAATTGGCATTAACGTATCTATTCATTTGTGCCATGAGTAGCTCGAAGCCGATACCGTTTTGGTGGCTATCGGTCGTCGTCCTTATACCAAGGGCCTTGGTTTAGAAAACGTAGGTGTTGAAGTGGATAACCGTGGTCGTGTTGTCGTCGACTCTGAATTCAAGACCAACGTATCCAACATTCGCTGTATCGGAGATGCCACATTTGGTCCTATGTTGGCTCACAAAGCTGAAGATGAAGGTTTCGCTGTCTCGGAAATGATTGCTACTGGTCACGGTCATGTGAATTATGATGCCATCCCCTCCGTCATTTATACACATCCTGAAGTTGCTTGGGTAGGAAAGAACGAAGCTCAACTTAAAGAAGAAGGCGTCAAGTATAAGACTGGTTCTTATCCTTTCGTTGCCAACTCCCGTGCTCGTACAAATGATGATACCGATGGTTTAGTCAAGGTTATCACAGATGCTGAAACAGACCGTATTTTAGGTGTGCATATCATTGGTCCTAATGCCGGTGAAATGATTGCTGAAGGTGTCCTTGCCATGGAATATGGTGCTTCTGCAGAAGATGTCGGTCGTACATGCCATGCTCATCCTGTAAGTTAGCATCTTTGATATACAGATCTAAAGTGTTTTCATCAGAAAAGCTAACTTTTTTTATTTTGAAAATAGACTCTCTCCGAAGCTTTCCGCGAAGCATGTTTGATTGCTTCCTTCGGTAAAGCCATCAACTTTTAGATATAGAGAATTCCCGAATTGTTGAATCAATTACATATACACACAAAACCACCTTTTCTATTTTTTTTTTTTTGTTTTCGTATAATTATATAAAAAAACCCAAACCATTTCTAATACACGGATGTGCCTTTTTTATTTAATGATTGATTGGTTGCTTTTGCAAGTCAAAAAAGGAACCAATGAGATAGTATCTGCATGATATCTGCAGATTAGATCAAGGGCTACCATTTCCCCTAGTCACTGTCCTGCATAAAGCTCGGTTCAAACTTACGTAATCTCATCACATGCTTTTTGCTGTTCAGCGCTGTATTTGACACTTGACTCATGAATAAGGAGAATTTGATGACAAACTGACATTGATTCATGTCTTTACAGGAAAATATGTATGTTAGTACGCCACTGAAGAGTCTATGATCACAAAGCTTACTTCAACCTGTCTTGGGGGAGAAACGATTTCTGCAAGAATGAGAAATGGCTTTCTGTGCTTGTCAGGTTTTTCTTGTTCTATATATCTTACTGACAAAGGTCTATTGCATGGAAATCCCAGATTTTTCAAAGACTTTCTTTGTTTTCTTCGATATTGGATGCGGCAATAGAGCTATTGGATGACAATCGGGCAATTATTGAAAATATCTGGTTTTGCTTTAAAACTGGGATTTGAAGACCAAAATTATACAGCCAAACAATACTTAAGGTCATTCATTAGCTTCGTCAGTCAAACAATAACTTGGAAAGAGAGTGGATGCCTGATCAGGCTTGAAATATGAACCAAAGGCCAAAACCACTTACAATAACGAACGCATAGCTTTTAAAAAATTATTGAACCTGAAAACTCTTCTTACAATCAGCAGTTAGAGCCAGGCATTTCACCTTTATATTTTCTGTCACTTTGCCCAATTACAAAAGGCCTCAAGCTTCACAGTTGATTCTTGTTGAAAACGACATGCAAGTATTCTTTATTATAACGTTGTCGCACAGTATCAATTCAGAAACACCCATGATTTCACACTAAAGTTTTGCAAACCAAATGTGCAGGCACAGAAAGTGGCTTACATAATGTATTCTTTATAATTGTTTGTTCATCCTCAGTTCAGATTACGAATCCATAAAATTGGTCCTCCACTGGTCTCATCCCTGTGAGTAGAATATATACGTATATAGGCTCGACAATTCTAGTCCCTTGATAGAAAAAGACGGAAGAGTAGACAAAAAGAGCACATACATGAGTTCTTTATACAGAGATGCTGTCATTTTGGGTAAATCTGATGTCAATGTTTTATATCCCTGCTATGTTTCCTCCTTTTTTCTACTCTTCAGGCCTTCTTTTTCGATTCAAGTAGTTTGCACTATTGTTTTTTTTTTTTTTTTTTGAAATACATGTATTTTTTTATAAATTGCGGGAAAATAGACACTAGCATTTGAGGCTTTCACATTTTGGCAAGAGCATTTTCGCCTAGAACCAGATAGCTCCAGCCTACAGTATGGGTACCTATAGCAGAGTTTGATCCTTTGCCATCATTTTTTTTTTTTTTCTTTACTTTATTTATTACCGCCGTTTCCATGTTTCAAAATTGATGGCTTGTAGATCGTATACGGAAAGAATATCAGCTTTCGAAAATACAACGTTTAAATCCGACTGAAAAACGGCTTAGTTCCTCAAAGTCTAGGCTTAATTTAAACACAGTGTACCTTTTGCATGAAGCAAACAGAAGCCTTTTGCTTGCATTTGTTGAACTTTTGCCTTCTAAAGCAAGGGTAACAAAAAAATGAAACTCAACATCAAAAAACTGCATAAACAAATGTAAACCGGGTTCTGCGTTCCTATTTTAAGGACGCACCTGAATGGTAAGTATTCACCATTTTTATTGTTGAAAGACATATTTATAGACTATAGCCTATGCCAAATCACTTGCATATCAACAGCCATAAAGACTCTGATTAGAAGGTTCTTATTTTGATCGCTTTGATTCGCATTCTCTTTAGTTAGACTTGCATAAGGTGAAACAATCTTGAACCCTTTGTCTTTTCTGAGCGGCGATCCCTCACACATTGTTTTTGAAAACAGAAAAAAAAAAAAAAAAAAAAAAAAAAAAAAGAGTTTTTTTTTCCTTAAATAACCTAGTTGAACATTATAAATTTATTGTAAAGCCACTTTCCATTTTTTCAAATCACAAAGGCGCCCTGATTAATTATTATTGTTTAAAGAACGGTTTTCAATAATCAAGGATTTTATGATTCTCTTATTCTAGTTTGTCTTTTTTTTTTTTTTTTTTTTTTGTTCTTTCTTTTTTATTATTTTATCATTTAAAACCAAAGCAACATCCTCTTTTTGTCGCCTTTTCTAATTAACCTAAAAATGTCACATACTATTAACATCAGCAAGAAGTCAGATCATATACCTCAATTCTACTTTCCAAAAAGGACCAACAGATCCGTCTGTACTTTCGACGCCAAAAGTGAAAAATTGTCGCACAACAAGAAAGATGATTTTCTGGTAGTGTGTCACCTCGTATATTGTATTTATTTGCTTAACTGCCTTTGTTCTTACTTTACCTCTCGTCTGCATAACCAAATCAGGACAATATATTTAGGAATGTCTTTGGAAATAGACGTTATCTAGCACGAAATGAGTTTTATATGGTAACAAAAGCTTGCGGTTTGCCTCAGTTTATGAGTCTCGCCTTTTTCAGGGCGATGGATATGTTGAATGACAATCGAAACGATAACCTATCATTTGAGGAGTTCAAAAAGTAAAGAAGAATAGAATGTAAAAAATTACTTTCTTTTAAACTATTTACTTACTCAATTATTATATGTTCTAATCTTTGATGACTAGTGGGTGGAATATTTTGACCCGGGATTGTGCCCATATGGACGAAAACAATGACTTGGAGGAGTTGATTTTTATCATCTTAAAGAAGCCTAACTGCAATTATATGACACCTGATGACATCTATCCATTACTAGAAGATATTGTTTCGAGCCATCCATCGTTGCAGTTTCTTCGCGACAATATGACATTTGAGGATAGATATATTGAAACCGTGATATGCAGAATTTTTTATGATGCACATTGCTTAAATGGAAAACTCAGTTTGAAGAATTTTCGAAAAAGTCAGTTCCCTTCCATCTTATTGAACTTGACGCCTACTATGGATTTATATACGGTAATGTGTTTACAGTTTCCTTTTCTATGTCCTGTTTCACCGGGACTGATGGTCATCTCCTTCTCTCATTCTGCTTCTAGGTCGATAATGTCCTGTCGTATCAGCAATTCTATGTCTTATACTACAAGCTTTGGGCATTAGATACAGATCATGACTTGGCCATCAGTGAAACAGACCTTTATAATTACAATATGGGCACTTTATCGTCATTGTCTGTAAAGAGAATCATGGACATTGGGCGTGTATTCGTTTTTGACAATCCAGCTTGCAACCATGTCTCATCCAACCATGATCAGCAACAAAAAACGCTAAGTTATTTCGACTTTATATGTAAGTATCTTGGTTCTTTCACTATTGTCATGATCACAGTGGTTAGAAACTCATTATTCTCTTGCATCATCATGCATTTCTACCTTGTAGGGTTTTTACTGTCGGAAGTGGACAAAAGTACACCGATGGCAATTGAATATTGGTTTCGTTGCTTAGATATGGATAATGACGGCGTCATCACTTCATATGAATTGAGCCAATTTTGGCATGACCAAGATATAAAGTATGTCGGCGTTGATTTTTGTTTTTTCAAAGCTCGCTTTATGCTAATACTTTTTTTTTTTTTTTTTTTTTTTTTCCTTCTTTTTTCACAAATCACTCATCAGACAGCAACAATTCTGCGATAATATGACGCCGGACGATGATTACATCCATTTCGATGATATAATGCGTCAGATGTGAGTAGTTGTAGGCAGCAGACTAGCTAAAACTGGTTCCAAGACTAACGGTTATTATCTTATTCTCTGTTTGATTCAGGAATGATCTGATTCAGCCCAGAATACCTGGTCAGTTTGACCTACGAGACCTTAAGAAGAACGGGTTTTTAGCGGAGCGATTTTTCGACACATTTATCAATTTTGATCGTTTGCGGGTGCATGATTCACGACAAGAAGGGTCAGTTCGACAAAAGGAGGCTTACCTCGCTAATTTAATGAAAGACAGAGGGCTACCTAATAGTTTTGAACCTACTATTCTCAGTGATGACTTGGGATTTCCAGTTTTATGGTACTTATTCTCAGCTGTTCATAACTGAAGGATATCATCATACTTAACAGAAAGTTATCTTCTTTATAGTAATTGGAGCGATTACGCAAGCATTGAATATCAGCGTATTATTGTGGACGAAAGTTATGTCAACTCTTACGAGGAAGAGGAAGAGGATTTATCAGATCAACATTACAGTACAACAATTGAACAGCCAAACTATTATTGTAGCGATCACGGTGTAGACAATGCCAAGTATGCGAACAATGATGACGATGACAGTGTCGCTGATAACAACAGTGACGACTATCCAACATCCCTAAGTTCATCCCCAACGCTATCCGGTAGTGATAGTAACGATGACAAATTGATACCGAATGATATTGTTACAGCTGCCTTTACAAATATGAGCCTTTCTTCGGCTACCACTATCTCTTGCAGACCGTCGTCATCCGAGCAGCAGCTTGTTACGGACAATGATGAATATATTACTGCTCATATTACTACAAAAGTACCTCTAACAAACGTATAGATACTTAATTTATTCCTCCTACGTACAGTTTAATACCCATACCCCATGTTTTATTGTTGATTCATGATCAAAAAGCTCTCAAGTCAATCCTTAATTTATCGTTTTTTCCCTTATAGTTCTCTCGTAATAAAACTTGCTCATACCAGTCATTCATTTCCCGATTGTATAGCACTCATACTTCTTCCATTACCACTCATTTGTTATACCGTATTCAATAGATAATACTCTTGGATTATTGCATAAGAGTGGAAATGAGAAATCAGCGACAAATCCTCATACATAGAGATGATAAAAGCCCTGCAACTTGGGCCTACCTGAGACAATGTCATATATGAAAATTTAAGGGAATATAAATACAAGAATTTTACAGAATGGAGTCAAATAACTTTATGCATAACAATGTAAATATGTAAATGTATTCTAATTCAGCTATGAACAATCTTGCTGGCCCATAATTTCTATATGTCAAAAGACAGAAAATTCAAGTGAGTGTTTTCAATTATACTGAGAACGACTGAACGAAGGATGAGCGACAAACGCGCTCTTTTACGAGGGCAAAGCAGTCAGTGCATAAGACTCTTTTCTTCGCTATCAGGATCATCTTACGCTGTCTTTTCTCTAATAAAATCAATTTACCGAACATCGAACAATTTGAAGGAATAGATTCATTATTCTAGAATGTAGAGACGAGCAGGCAGTAGCGATACCATCCACCATATTATTTAGAACCGTAAAGTCATTATGGAGAAAATAAATAGAAAAAACTGAATTTCCCCAATGTGCTTCATTTTTGTGACCGTACGGTATTACATAATTAGAGCTCCTGTCAGCCAACGGCAAACGGCTACTTGCTTTCTGTTGCACTTTTCTGTTGTTGGTCTTCTTCTTTTTAAAACAACGAATATTTCACAACCTTCCCTATATTGACGGATGAATTTTGACGAGATTGAAGAACAAGTAAGCCTTCAAAAATAACTCCAAATGCCATCTTGTTCCTTTCAATAGAAGCTATTTCAGGAACTCAACTCTTCTTCCATGATGCACCATCTTTTTTTTTAACCAACAACAGGACGGTATCCGTTTCTCGTGGAATGCATGGCCATCTTCACGTTCAGAGGCTACAAAAGCTGTTGTACCCATTGCCTGTCTCTACACACCTTTGAAAGAACGCGAAGACTTTCAAGAAAGTCCTATCTGGTATGAACCAGTGACTTGTAAGGCACCTTGTAGAGCCATCTTGAATCCCTACTGGTAAAAAAGTCGAAAAATGCCAACCATCACGACCTACTATGCACAAGTGGATATAGATTAACCTTTCTCTTTATTGTTTTACTCTTCATCGCTTATTCAGTCAAATTGATGTTCGTGGTAAACTCTGGATTTGTCCTTTCTGTCTCCAAAGAAATGCTCTTCCTCCTCATTACAAAGATATTTCCAACACCAACCTTCCTGCTGAACTGCTACCCAAGTACACTACTATTGAATACAATCTGAATCGTGTTGCTCAAATTCCACCCATCTTTTTATTCGTTGTCGATACTTGCCTCGAAGAAGATGACCTTAAGGCTCTCAAAGAATCCTTAATTGTCAGCTTGAGTTTATTGCCCGAATATGCTTGGGTTGGTTTGATTACTTTTGGCACCATGGTAAATGCGATAGATATGTCATAAGAAAAGCACAGCTCCCATTTGAACCAACCCTCTCTTTCCCTATCTTTATAGACTCAAGTTCATGAGTTGGGCTTTGCTGATTGTCCCAAGTCGTTTGTTTTCAGAGGTACCAAAGAATACACTGCAAAGCAAATTCAAGAAATGTTGGGTTTGACCAATAATAGTGCTCGTCCCACCGGTCAACAACCCAACCGTCCCGGTCAACCTCCCCAAATGACGATGGCTGCCAACAGGTAAAAAAAATAATAATAGATATACATGTGGGATATTGAAAAAAAAAAAGGTGTTGCTAAGGAAAGAAAATAACCCTACTGGAGTGTGCCGGAGGCTAAACCTACAGTTTTTCTGTGAAAAATAGATTCTTACTTCCTGTAAAGGATTGTGAATTTGTGTTGACCTCAATTTTGGAAAATCTTCAACGTGATCCTTGGCCCGTTGCTGATGATAAGCGACCTGAAAGAAGTACGGGTGTGGCCATGAGTGTAGCTGTTGGTCTTTTGGAAACAACTTTCCCTAATACAGGTGCTCGTATGATGCTCTTCAGTGGTGGTGCTGCCACTGAAGGTCCTGGTATGGTTGTGAGTAGTGAATTGAGAGAACCCATCCGTTCTCATCATGATATCGAAAAGGAATCGGCCAAGCACTATAAGAAGGCAACCAAGGTAAATAATTGGTTTCTACGTACTCTCGTTGAACAGCAAATAAGGATAGAATTGAGGGGCTACTTTCTAACGCTACCTTTTTTTGACGCTAGTTCTATGAAGCACTTGCCAAGAGAGCTGCTCATAATGGACATACGATTGATATCTTCGCTGGTTGTCTTGATCAAATTGGTTTATTGGAAATGAGATCCATGGTCAATAGCACGGGTGGTTTCATGATCTTGTCCGATTCTTTCAATACAGCCATTTTCAAACAGAGTTTCCAACGCATATTCCAAAAAGACAGTCAGGGACATTTACAAATGGGTTTCAATGCTACCATGGATGTTCAAACCACGAGAGAATTGAAGGTATGCGGTTTAATCGGTCATGCTGTTTCTGCCAATAAGAAGACACCGTATGTAGGCGAGACAGAGATCGGTATTGGTAATACATCCGCTTGGAAGATGTGCAGTTTGAATCATGAGACGACCAATGCTGTTTACTTTGAAGTCGTGAATCAACCTTCGGCACCTTTCCAGCCTGGATCACGTGGCTTGATTCAGTTTGTCACTCACTACCAACATTCAAGCGGCCAATTCCGTCTTCGTGTTACCACTGTCGCTCGTAATTTTGCTGAAGGACAAAGTCCTGAGATCGCCAATTCATTTGATCAAGAAACAGCTGCTGTGTTGATGTCGCGTATCGCTGTGTTTAAGGGAGAAATCGATGATGGACCCGATGTATTGCGTTGGTTGGATCGTATGTTGATTCGTCTTTGCCAACGTTTCGCTGATTATCGCAAGGACGACCCTCATTCTTTCAGATTATCAGAAAACTTTTCCATTTATCCTCAATTCATGTTCCATTTGAGACGTTCTCAATTCTTGCAGGTGTTCAATAACTCACCTGATGAAACAGCCTTCTACCGTCATACACTGAATCGCGAAAACGTGGATTCATCGCTTATTATGATCCAGCCTACTCTTACATCTTACAGTTTCGATGCTCCTCCTCAACCTGTCTTACTTGATTCCGTTTCCATCAAGCCTGATGCTATCTTGTTACTGGACACTTTCTTCCATATCTTGATTTTCCATGGCGAGACCATTGCTCAATGGCGTGATGCTGGTTACCAAGACCAAGAAGGCTATGAGAACTTTAAACAGCTTTTGGAAGCTCCCGTGTTGGATGCTCAAGATCTTCTGATGGAAAGATTCCCTATTCCTCGTTATATTGTTTGCGACCAAGGTGGCTCTCAAGCTCGTTTCTTACTTTCCAAACTAAATCCCTCTACTACTCATACCTCAGGCAGCCCTTATAGCGCACCAGGTGGTGCTGTTGTTCTTACAGATGATGTCAGCTTACAAGTCTTTATGGAGCATTTGAAGAAGTAAGTTCATTTACAGATTTTATAAGGTTAAAAAATTGGATGAACTAATCATTGCATTATTCATTTATCTTAGGTTGGCTGTTGCTGGTGCTTCGTAATTATTAACCCCCCAATAATTCAATTATAGCTGTCGTCCATTGTTGCATACAATTTATCTTTTTAAAATTTTCGAAACATTTTTAATACACAAAAAAATAAATAAAAAGAATCTCCCTCCACAAGAGTGTACATACACATTCGTCATGAAAATGTTGAAACTGAACCTCTGCCAAAACTAGCACATAGGTGGCAAAGCATCTCAATCTATTATACATAGGAATGAAATGTAGAAATACAACAAAGGCTTCAAAAGTAGATGTATTAAATATGCATATATAATAATATATGTTACATAATAAACAGAGATATCGTTAAACAATGACAAAAGCTACCAATAGAGCGGTAGTAAAGAGGAAAAAGCTGCCAAAGTGGACAGAAGGCATGGCATCCGATTGTGCAGTTGCACTAGCAGAAGGAGAAGAACCACTTGAAGAGGGAGAGGAAGAGCTTGCAGAACCGTCAGCATTGGTACACATGCTATTGTTCCAGTTCTTTGGATTGTCTACGAAGGTAACGTCGGCGCACTTTTATCATGCAAGTGTAGAAAAGTTATGGCATGAGTGCTTGAAGATAAATTACCATTTTCAACTTTTTCGAAAATAGCGATAAAATAGTTACCTGGTATAGCTCGCCGTCACCACCATTATAGATAATTTGAATGGTACCGTTCGTGCCAGCCTTAATGGCAGAGTTCTTGTTTAGATCAAGTGATAGACAAGCAGCTTGAGGATAATTGCGAGAGCCATTGGCGACGGCGACTGCTTGACTGGTATTGGCAAAGTCGGCCGTGGAGGGATTATTGTTTACAAGAACATTCACAACATAAGAGTAAGAGGTATGGCCTGAATTGATTTCGATAAAGGCATCTTTCAAAGGGACTTCTGCACGTGCTGCACTCACAGTGTCAAAGCCGCCGCAGGGTGCGGTAGGCTCTTTGTTCTCATCGAAACCACGAGAGCCGGGATACGTTACTTGAAAGTGAGCTAAAGCACTTTGTACAGATAGCAAGGCTGCTAATAGAAAGACAACGTTAAAGCGAGACATTTCTATGCTGTAAAAAATTGATTAGTAATGTGTACGGGAAGTAGAAGAAAAAAGAAAAGAAAAGAGTCAATTCGAAAGCCCAACACCGATGATGATATAAAAAAGGGGTACATGCCTACAAATCAAATCGCGTCCTTTTTCCCTTTTATTTTGTAACCCCCACATTCTGAGAGAATTTAGCTCTTAGAAGCGGGTTGATTGGACCACCTTTCTATCAGAAACCAGTCCGTTGAAGGGCCCTTTTTCCCCAGATCCATTTCCAGAAACAACCGACTTATTCTTCGCTCTACTTTTTACCGTTTGGCATTCATTCTATAACTCTCCTTTTTTTTGACCTATTAGAGGCAAATTAAAAAGCATTAAATACAAAAACATAACTCTGTAAATGGAAAACCATCTGAATTAGCCCATCATGGATATGAGTCATATGGATATGAATTCACAAGCAACGCCTCCCAACATCAATGAGCCATATGCCAAGACACTCATAACAATTATAACAGCTGTGATTGCTTTTCTCACCTTACGGCATGTTGTGAGAGCTCTTTATAAAATTGCAAACTCGATATCCAGCTTGAAAAAGATCCATCATTCATTCATACCAGCTGCACGCTATTATCAGCGGATAGAGACACTCGTTGTCAATCGATTCGGCTACAAAGCAACGGCTTATGGACCTCCTCTGGGTGCATTATTACTCATCCTCGCACTTGCTTCAGCTATTTTACCGCTTCTTTTAATTAACGTTGACCTGAAATTGAACTCAAACCGTGCAGGCTTTCTAGCACTTGCTTTAGTACCGTTTCTTCTTTCGTCCACCGGTAAGAACTCTGCGCTGTCGCTATTGACAGGTATTTCGCCTCTAAAGCTCAATTTCCTCCATCGTATCTTGGGATGGGCGCTATTTATATGCGCTACAGTTCATATGGCATTTATGATACATGCCTGGAGCAAGTTTCCAACATTTTTGCAATCTGAACTACAACTTCCAAAAGTACAATATGGACTAGCGGGTTATGGATGTCTTTGCGTAGTTATTGCGGGCAGTTTATGGCCGGTACGAGTATTCTGCTATGAAGCGTTTTTGATGACTCATCTACTGGGATTTGCATTTATTGGTTTGATAGCGGTCCATACACCCTATGCTATGCGGTATTTTTTCACGGGTATCGTCTGTTATGGATTGAATGTGGTGGCTGTTTGGTTTGTCAAGTCTTATATTGCGACTGCTCGATTCGAAGTTTTGCCTGGAGGATGTACAAAAGTGTTTATTCGATTAGCCAGCCCTATTAAACAACATCAAGTAGGACAATATATCATGTTGTGCATACCTGCTATTTCACCATTTCAATGGCATCCTTTTACAATTACAAATGTTCACGTCAGCGAACAGCAGCCAATTGGTTCAGCTTTCCAAAACACTTTGGAGGTTTGCGTTTGTGTTAGAGGCAACTATACCCGTAAGCTGTATAATATTGTCAGCAATCACAAAAGTCAGGAAATGCGTGTCTTTGTGAGTGGACCTTTCGGTAGCAGTGGAATTGAACCCCGAAAGCTATTGGAACGATCTACATCGATCATTATTGCATCAGGCGGTGCAGGTATCACTTTTGGTATGCGGTTGTTACGCGAATTGATGGATGCATTAGCGGCAGACGAAGACACGAAAGTTGAATCACGTCTATTGGCAGGCCAGCAATGGTGCAAAACGGAAGATATATATTTTTACTGGTCAGTGCGGCGACCAATAGAACTATCTTGGTTCCGAACCGAGTTGGAACAAATAAATCACTATGCACATCATCAAAAAAACATGCAGCATCAGTTTCCCAGAGTGCATGTAAAATTTTATATCACTTCAGCATCAAATACGACTACAGGCGATTCCCCGTCTTCGTTGGTAACAATTCCTCAATCCACAACAGCGGTTACTCCTTCTGTGTCATCAGGTATTATCAATGAAGACATTGGAACGGATGAAATTGAAATGCTTTATTTCAGCAGCAACAATGAAAATGCACAACAGAGTAATTATTCAAAAAGTATAGACACAATTGTTGGTCAGCGTATACAAGCTAAAGATATACTTGAGCATGCTCACGACGATACTGCATCTCTGTTCGGTACGGCCTTTTACGCATTTTTATGTTTCATCCTACAGGGAAATCTTACTTTTTTCTTTCTATTGTAGTTTGTGGGCCTAAACAGTTTAATTCTATGATTTCAAATGCAGTTGCGATACATTCATCCGCAGTATCGCTTCACTGTGAAAAATTTGAATGATGATAAACATACCATCTCAGAGTACCGTTTTTAAATGAATCACATCCCTTTTTATCGCTAAATATCATCCATTTCTATGACTTTTTTAAGGTCTTTATCATTTCGTGCCCAAGCATAAATCTTTTCCTCTTTCTAATAGATATATAGATTCAATATAAGCCAATATTAGGAAACTAACCTCGTTAAACCTGTTAATGAAATCTGAGATTGTTGCCGGCAAATGCAGGTCTTCCTTCTCGAGGTTTTGTCCATATTTATTCAATTTCGCTTCATCAATCAATTGAAGAATGGGATTTCTTTTGTTCATTGTGTCTACCACTTCTGACATACTTGGTCTAAATAAAATATCTCAAGATTTGGTTGCATACTACGACAAGCCCCATAAAAGTTTCCATTCGATATGCTACTCTAAGTACTGTTGCTCAGCATCATACACATTCTCTTCTGCTTGCCATTTGCCAAGAACGATCAAGTGGAGCGTAATTACCAGTTTTTCACAGTGTTACCAACAATTAGAAGAAGCTTCCTTCCCAACAGCCTTCTAATGTATCATAGACTTTCTCAACCATACAAACGCTGAAGGCTTCCATATTTTGCACGTCTTTGAAAAAATTTCTGCCTGCCAGGGAAACTGGTGGAAATTCAGGCTTCTGTTGCAAAGTATTGAAGATGAGCTTGAATTCAATCATAAGAGGTTGCGCCAGTTCGAAAGTAATGCATTGGTTTCATCTATATCAAGTTTTGTAGGATTGGCACAGCAATCATGATGAGGCTTGGAGAGAACTCCTTCGATCGCCTTTATTTCACTGTGGAAAGCATTGGTAGCCAAGGATTCACCCTTAGCTATAATGGCTATCGACCTAAAATCAAGGATAAAGTAATATATTTTCATCAATCTTTACAGTTTAGTGTGTTGTGAATGACTATTTGATAGTTCGATCTTACAGCTTCTCTAAAAGGCTTGAGTTTTTTGGTGAGAACAACGATATCACTATTTAGTAAACAATCCCATCGTCAACATTATGATCATGCTTATTGTGATCAAGGTTATAGTTGGCATATTGGGAATCGTCACCAGAAGGAAGTATCAACGTCATTCTTGTGAGTCTCAACAGCCAAAACACCGACTAAGTGGTGTAGATAGAGAAATGGATAAGAATGGTTATTATCTACCTCAATAAACATTGTGATAACAATTGCATCAAAAGTCATTCTACCTGGGAAAAGAACACATAATGCTATCATAAGAATAAAGATACCACGCATTTTTGTATGTGGTGAGAGGGTTTCTTCCAATAGTTAGAGTGGAGTGTTTAAGCTTTGGAGTTTTTAGATAACAGATCTTGGTACTATGAACAAAGAGAAATAGAATTGTGTATATTATTTTTTTTTTTTTTTGGTTGATCTGCAAATCTCTATTTTATTCTGATCTCGACACCAAAATAGGTCCACAAGAGAAGTTGTGGATGTATAAAGCGTACGTTTAGAACAAGGGAAAGTACATGGTTCCCTTTTTCGGCACGTATCTCTTCCACATACTGAAATTCTTTTCTGTGGCTTCTAAGAATATATGTTATGGAAAAAGTTGAAAAACTTCCTGACCTACAAAGGGGATCAAAAAAAAAAAAAAGGAAAGGAGAACTACAGCTTCGCGAGTGGTCAGTCACATTCATATAATTTCCTTACTCGTCTGTTTTTGCTGATATAGATGTTGAAAAGTATAACATATAGCGTTTGAAATGATGATATAGCTAGGTGGCAGTTCTATGGCTGTGTTGCCTTTTTAAAACTGTTCAATGGATTTTTGATACGGGCGTTTCGTCACCCTCCACAATAATGCACGTCTCTTGGGATACGTTGTATTTATTTACTAATATAAACACGAATTAGACACATCCTCAAATACGAGACACGTTATTACGATCATAGAATTAAAATAAGACCTGTACAAGTGATCTTGTGCTTTAGAAAGCCGCATATATAATGCTGCATTCTTGCTGGTTGAGAATTTCAGGAACGAGTATTTGTTTTAAATTCTTTTTCTTTATTCTCTTTTTTTAATAAAAATATTCAGTTTGCTATGAACGCTTCGCTTTCTCATCTTCAGTGTATAATAAAGGACTAAACGAAACTTATTTCGCCTTACAGTTTCTATATCAATTTATAAGTCGCGTTTACTAAATAATAGAACAACTACAAATACCACATAACCGCCTTATTGTTGACATTGTTTCCGCAATCAATGCGAGCCCTAAACTAGTCAGACTTCAACTTTGAATAGTGGTCTCCGTAATACAAGGCCTTTCACTTCTCTCTTTGTACGTCACTCAACACGAAGAATGGACACGGAAAAAGAAGATCCAGAACCTAATATTGAAAAACAACAGATGTAAATACTTGGAATATTTTCAAACAATAGCAGTTCCAGTTTGTCTGTCTAACTACTTCATCTAAATCTAAGCTAATGCCCCCATTGTAAAAAAACATTCGCGAGACGAATAAGGGGAACTTCCTGTTCCACATTGACGTAGAGCACAAACAGGAAGGGAAAAAAAAAAAAGAAAGATGAGACATACCGTTAATAACTGGTCTAAGATGAAGAAAAACTAGAACAAAAGGAGGGATCGGCTCGTTTATGTACGAGCCATAAATTTCGCTGCTTTGGTGTTGCCACAAAGTAGTACGTTTGTAACAAACGATTAATACTGTACGCAAGCATCAAAGATGTTTGCTTTCGCGGAGTCACCCATCAAGAAATTAACAGTGAATTAAAAATACTCACATTATTCTAATTCACCAAATTGTGGCAATAAATAGAACTTTAACCATTTCTTGCTCTTTCTGCCCTTTTTATACATCAACAAAAGTAGCTGAAAGTAGATCTTGAGTGACAGAGAAGATACGAACCTTCTCTTTCGAACGGTCTAACTCCACACTGTCTCTTAAGACTAACAGTCAAAGCTGAGTTTTGAAGGGCCAGGCAAGAATTTTATGCAAAGTTGTGGATCGAGAATTCAGGGGGGCAAACTGGCTACTTCTAATAAAACATTGATACGGGGATTTAAAATATTTCTACTGATATCTAAAGACATCAATGATCGCTCAGTTGTATTTATATCGCCAACCTCTGCTAACCGCACAGTTAGAAACTGTCTTTACTTGATGTCAAAGATACAAAATTTACATTGTTTAATATTATTGCCATTGCTGGCATCAAATATAGACAATGTAAGCTTTTTGCCGAACCTTTTCTGAAAACTTGCATTGACTGTCGCGTAAGCATTAGAAGATTAAAGGGGAAAAAAATATTCCAGCCTTCAAACTATCAGGAACCATTTCCATTAACTCGTGAAATAACAGTTCTCGGTGGGATTTAATGAACAAGGTTGTAAACATCGCAGGCAGCAAGTACTTGCGGCGTTTATTTCACGTCTTTTGGATTTTCACGTCTATGAACTAGGCAGAATATATACGGTAAGCCAAGATTACGGAGCCAAACATTCAAAGAATGAGTTGCCTTCAGCTTACACTCGAAAAAATGTTTACTGGATGACAAGTTTGAATGCTGCGGCTTCCTTTATTTTGACAGGTTGTGAGCAGGTTCAACTTGGCGAGAAGTTCCAACATTATCATTTAATAAGTAATGAAGCAGTTTACCATTTTCAAGACCCTATGCTACGCAGTGGTAGGTCCTGAAAATGCGCTTTATGCTCAACTGCATCTCTTTGATGGATAACAGGATATTCTCATATATCTGACGTGTCAAAAGATGGTCATGCGCATTTTACTAGGATCTCTCAACATCATTCACTTTACATGCATGAATCCAAACCTACACAGCGTGCATTTTTACCCACTACTGTTTCCATAAAAGAAAAAAGAGTTTCCCATTATTTTCCTCGGTGGTAGATTGCATCAACAATACTTGGCTGATAGCGAAGGCAGTATGCGAACAAAATAAGTTAAATTAGCTACAGAATCACCCAGCGGACCTATGTGCCGATATATACAATGGATGTCATTCGCCAACGTGATATTGATTTGCATCCTAATTTTACAAGTAGTTTTGTTGGCGGGGTCTAGCTCTATGGCAAAGCATTATCAAGATGCGATGGCACTGGTTCGCAAATAAGGTAAATCTTTCTTATTCATGACTTTCAACCACTCATCTACAACGGGAAGAAACGAAACGTGAGTTATTCCGATAGCAAACTGCTGTTGATCGTCCAGATCTAGTGGCACGCCTATTTGATATGAAAGTCAACCAACTACTTGGCAAATGTCAATCACAAAACCATGTTTGGGAAGTATCAGGGCTCAGGACGAACCATTGAAAACCAAAAACGTGGGGGGTTACCACATCTTTCTATTCTATTATCCTTACAGCCGAATGACGCACGAGCTTTCAACTATGTATAATTTTACTTTATCTATTATTTCTCAACTTTTATATTTTCATACCAAGCACACAATGTGACAATAAACACAAGCAATATATAAATAGACAAAACAGGTATGACGTCTATGACTATTTTGTTGAGCGGGAAAAAACAACAGTATAACCTTACATTCATGTATACAGAAGAACCCCTTCAGAAGGATGTTCTCCAACCTATTGGTTTAATACATGTTCGCTATTATTCAACAACATTATGGAGAATGCTTCTTTTCGAATTCGATCATATATTCAATTAATCTATCGACATCATCTTCCGGCATGGCATTATAAATCGAAGCTCGAATACCACCTACAGAGCGGTGACCTTTTAGTTGATGCATGTGTAACTTTTCAGCACCGGCGAGGAATTCCTTCTCCAAATCCTCTGTCGGTAATCTAAACACGACGTTCATGTGGCTCCGACAGTGGGGATCGACGGGTGATTTATACAGCTTGGATTGATCAATCAATTCATACAGTTTTCGTGCTTTGCTATTATTCGCCTGTTCTATACCCTTCAAGCCACCTTTCTCCTCAATGAGCCATTCTAATGTAAGTCCAACCATATAAATCGCAAACGTAGGTGGCGTATTGTACATGGAGTTATTATCAGCGGCCGTTTTGAAATCCAGCATCAAAGGACGTACGGGACCCACATTGACATCCACCAGCATATCATTACGCACGACGACAATGGTGACACCTGCAGGGCCTAAATTCTTTTGCGCGCCACCGTACACGACAGCATACTTGGGCACATGGATGGGTCTTGACAGGAAATTACTGGATACATCGGCTACTAAAGGTACCGTCTCATTCACTTTGGGTACAAACGGGAATTCAACGCCATGAATCGTTTCATTGTCACAATAATACACATAAGCGACATGGTGTTTCGTGGGATCTGTCAGGTTCCATTCTGAGGGGGGTGGAATAGTACCAAATTTGCCATATTTCTGCTTTACATCAATGACACGGTTGACGCGGATAGGATTGCTTTGCACGGCGGGCGCTAATCGTTCCGCTTCTTGTACTGCTTTGTTGGACCAGGCACCTGTGACGAAATAGTCCACGACAATCTCTTCCTTCTCTTTACCCAATTTTATCAATTCATCTTGCTTCTTTGCCACCAAATTCAAAAAAATGGCAGCAAATTGCGTTGTGGCACCACCTTGCATAAATAAGATACTGTAGTCGGATGGAATATCCATAAGCTTTGCGAGATTATCCTTGGTCTTTTGAAGGATGGCACCAAAAGGCTTGGAACGATGAGACAATTCCATGACTGACATACCCGTACCATTGATATCTAAAAATTCCTTTTGTGCTTTCTTCAAGACAGATTCTGGGCTATGTTCATAAAAGGGCCATTCATGTCAGTTCTCCATTATAGATCACATGATGTGTGGAATAACCTCTCCTTCCTATCTTACATTTTGGCAGGACCTGCACCAAAATTAAGTACATGGTTTGAAGTATTCGACATGGCCAATTTCTTTGAGACGAATAGAGATAGAGTAGGAAAGAGTGGAAAAAAGGAAAGATAAGGCTAGTCCTATTACTCACATTTTCTCGTTGTCGCACTTTGAAAACGAAAAAAAATGATGCCGCATATGATTCATGAAAATCTTACATCCGTACGTTTTGATCGTATGTACAGAAATGTCGCGTCAAGCTTATTCACTACTATTCAATGGGGTGGGGGCGGGGTGGTGTTGCAGCTGTAAATAACCCTCACAACGTCTTATAGATTAGCAAGAAGAGCCTTTCAGCATCTTCATCGACGATATGTGCAGGAAGAGGGTCTTTGTTGAGGACAAGTTCTCTTTTGACAAAACTCTTTTCGAAGCGAGACCAGACCTGTTCAGTAGGGTTTAGTTTGACAAGTAGAAATAGTTATATCCACATCGTCTTGTAACTCAAGAGACGCATGTATGCGCAGATAGATGAAAATTCACGCAGACTTGCGAGAAATCACTCTTTTCTGCGTGGTGTAACAGATAGTTTCACACAGATTTGCTTCATGATAACCATTTTGATGCACTGTATTTCTGATGCTGCCTTCACGAATGACCAAGCTTATAGTCATGACTTTAATCAGTCATCCCAAATGTTCAATGACAAAGTCTCAGAAGAGAACAACGTACAGTGACTCACAAAAGTATTACCATGTTTTCAAGTATTGTAATTTTGCGACTTTTTAACGCATTCTTTTCCTTAAGTACATACTTGGGCACTGTTTTTTTTTTTCATTGATATGGAAAGTAGTCATTCTAAGCTATTCAGTGATATAGCTTGCGTTAGGATTCATATACATTGGCTTGAGCACATTCGACATTCTAATCGCTCCTTTCGACATTTGCAAAGTAAAACAAATTCAGATGCTGAAATGATGAATGTTCACAGACCATTTCTTCCCCCAGGATTCTTCGAGAGTTTCAGCAATCTGCTTGTGGTCAATTTCATTGTTGAGTATCACGTTTTATCAAACTTGTACCTTTTTTGCTTTTCGTTTCATTACATTACCTTACCCATTCAGAAAAACCGCGACATTAGATAAATCTCAACGTGCGTCCCATACCTTATGATAAAAAAAATATATTGGTACCCTTGCACCCACAACGGTTGTCAATGATAGACAATCACGTTATTTCAAGACTTATGTGGTTATGAACGGCATAATTGAGATATCGGACAAATCAGAAGACTCGCAACTTTCTACGATCAAAGACAGTATTGACGAAATAATAGAACTCTTACCAAAGTATCATACGCCAATGAGTGCTCCATCCGAACTTGATGTCTTTGAAAGGATAATAAAGGGCCAAGTAATCCGTCAAAACGATAGCTCCAAGTATTTCAAAAAATGCTTGGAGAAAGTGAAGATCGTCATGACCCATGATAAACTGGAAATCATCAAGATTTATACCCATTTGTTCTCAAACTACGCCCGATTCTCACAAGTATCTTTTCAAACCAAAGTTCAAACAGCTATCAGAAGGAGATCACATTATAAAAATTTGATCCCCTTTCATTGAAACTATGTTAGATCCCTTGATGATATTTCACCCATCATTTCTCATTGGGGAGATACCACCTCCGAACAAGTCAAAGATGATGGTAAAACAATTAGAATGGATTTGAGATGGATAGCTTGTGAAACGCCAATTGAACAAAACAAGATATTCGATACTGCTGTTGCTGAGCTTGCGCCAAAGGTTTTAAAGTCTAAATATTACAACGATCAATTGAAAACCGTATTAGCAAGCAAAAGCGCAGTTAAATGGCTTGTTAAAGAACAATGATGATTTGGACGACGTAACTCTGAAAGGTTATGCAATTCCATTGATGACAATATTGGGACTAGAATGCGAAATATACACCCTTAGATTTATAGCAAATGGTGTATATGTAGTTGACGTAGTACACACAACGGTTTTTCAGTCGTCGCCAAAGTGTTGAGAGACGATGGTTTGAATAATCTTATAGAAGGCCTTTACCTAGTCAAGACATTATGCATGAAGGTTATTGAAGCTAAGAACAAGAAGAGCAAGAACGTAAGAAAGAAAAGCCACAAAAGCTAAAAGGCTTTCATAGGTCGTGGAAGAAAAAGTAGTTCCAATGAAACTTGACTGGCCAAGAGACTTGTGGTGTCCTCCATTATACGATCTGAATTGTTAATGATTCTGTTTCAATAAAATGTCAATAAAATGAATACAAGTTTAAGCCAAAAGTTAGCTTCGTCTTTATTAAATGGGAATTTCATACCACATCAAATTCATGATGGATAATATAACCAAGGCCTGATGCCAGGAAAGTAGTAGCCCTTTCGGAAACTGTACTAGAGTCTTCATATATTGGCACCCGCTATGCCTCAATTACTCGTTGTCAATCAGGAAACTACAAGAACTGCAAAATAGCCACTACAGCGTTTAGAATGCCGCAAATGACCCATAGCTAGACCTACACCTGAAGTATGTTCAACACTGACGGCTTTGTTTACTAATACTTATTTCTCAAGGTCAATCACTTTAATAATATGTTTACACGTTTATGTTTTTGCTTAACAAATTTTTCCTGTCTCTCATAGTCAATGTCGCCGATGATAGGTAGAAAATTCTCACTCATCAAGGGTTAAAAAAGACTACTAACTCAAAAACGTAAACCCGAAAGCGATCTAATATCAAAGGCAATGCTTGCCACTAAAGATTTATGAACTTGATTTTGGCGTCCAACATCGGTAACCATTGTACTATAAAGTGTCCTATCATTAGAGTGGCATTCGTATTCATTTATTATCACTCGGGATCCATGCCAAGAATCTATATGCGCCACACTCCTGTGCAGCCCCTGCCGATATGATTTACCACCCATCTTTACAGAGGTCGAAAATGTTTGTTGAAGATTTTATGAAATCGACTGCAGAAGATTTCACAAATGATCATCATGATATTAAAAAAGGTGAGTTTTTCAAACAATGACCGTGCCCGAACTGGGCACAGCAACATCTTATTTTGACACACATCATCAACAATTGCAAGCCATTTTCACAAGTGTCTTGCTTGATCCAAATGATTGCGCTGGCTTATGTATTCATAAAGCAACAATGTTCTCTTCTTGGTTTTTTCACATACACGGACAACCCAATAGGTAAAGTTGGCTCTATGTCACAGCGAAACAAACAGTCGATCATGAAATACGTATTTCATGAAGGCCTAAATGAAGAATCATAAAAACGCATAGCTTGAAAAAAATAGTTCGATAAAGGACGTGCCAGTAGACACTACAAAAGCTACAGGGTGCTAGAACACTCCATCTCTTATCATCAAGTGAAGAACTTCCAAGTCAAGAATATCAATATCCAGCCGTCGAACTGCTTTTCCATGTATACATGAATATAAGTGTTGGGAACGACTAAAGATCTGTATATGTACGAATGTTATCAAGTAGTTAGCTTTTTTAGCAAGAAAATTTGGATCATTTTATGGATGAAGAGTTAATGAAGGGTCTAAATCTTTGTTATAGGCGTCAATGTTTTGACCATTTTGGAAAAATTAAAAAAAAGTCACTCGTTGGGCCCTCTAAGATTTATACTTTCCCAGATCAATGTTCCTTTTATCTGAATTCAAAGTGCGCTTCCTCACTACTTTCAGCATTTTTACGCGTATTTAATTCAATCAAGTCACGTCCTACCATATACCGGTCATTTTGCTCAAGATATCGTAGAATCCAAATACTTATAGACAGAGTAATAATCTACATTGGATTTGCTTCTTGCAAATGAATTCTTACCAAAAAGTCAAAAGAACGATTAACAAATAAATTGCATCTATTTGATCACAGTGCAAGCGCACGCCCATTATCCATCTAGTCTCCTAAACTGAATGCTTTCTTACCAGTCAAATATCTCTACTAATGATGGGAAAACTTCTACTGATGGCTAAAGAATATCTGCTGAAACTGTAAAATTGTATTGACCTTGAACACTGCTATTGTCCCAAATTAAAAAATGTTATTTCCAAATGCAAAAGTTGTGTACATAGACTGGATGTATTTTGATGATAGAGCATTTCTTTCCTACGAAAATCCAATGTTTCTATTGGCCAATAAAAACTTCAAATACCGTTTTAGGAAGTTTGTTTTTCTCCTGCCTCCACTTTAGATGACTTTAATGGTTGTTTTTTTTGTAGCTTAACTGTTTATACCTCTTTCAGGCATGCATTACACAGCACTAACTATGATGTGCTTCATTTCTCCTTCCTCTTCTTTCTTTTTTCCTTTTATAAATCTAATTCACTGTTCTATGCAAAAAACGAAATGATAGGAGACACACATAACAGTTCAGCAGGTAAATCTGTAATGACTGCAAATACACTATGCAATGCAGCAAAGCATCATTACTGACCCTTTTTATATATGTTTACGAATAAAAAAGATATAATGCAGGATCTTTATAAGGAAATTGAGAATCTTATGGGTAAGGGAAATCAAAAGCAAATGACTTACCATGAACGGAGGGGTGGGGATGGCTCAGTAATGTCATCATTTACCGAAGAATAGATACTCCTTTCAAACCATTTTCATCCCACCATCATGCTCCTCTGAACAGTCACTCGGAAGCGGATGCATCGGGTCACTCAGTGATAGATACTTTCAAAGAAGACCCTGCGGCGAACACAACTGCAGACGTGAGACGGCAGGACACCCCTACAGAAAGCAATGACGATCATGAAAGACCTATACTGATCGAAAGCGATAGTGACGATATTGAAGAAGAGTAAGCGGGAATAAGCCCTTTTCCTCCGAAAAACGGATACTAATAGAATCCACTGTTGCTCCATGATAGACTCCTCACACCTGATCAGCTACAGTATAGCTTTTTAACGTGTTATAAATGTGGTAGAATCATTCCGTTTGATCCTGTGGTGAGCAGCAATAATAGGCTTTCCATCCCATCCTCGGCAGGGGAAGCGATAGAAGAAGCAGCCAATATTTGCAGTGAATGTTCGTCAGCAAAGAAAAAAAGAACACGATCCAGGTCGTTCACAGGCGATGTCTTTAATGCTGTCGCCAGTAAACTGAAGCGTTCACTGAGTGGAAATCAAGACCAGTATTGCTTGAGCAACAACGGTAGTGCCACATCCCTTCTGTCCCCCATGGCTATACCTCATTTAAGCCGTAGGAAGAGCATGCCAACGATCCATACTGCTCACGATCCTCAGCAATCACAATCGTGGTTAGAGCCACCTCCTACTCCCACACCCTCCAGACCCAGTAGCAGAGCCTCCTCCCTCATTGAAGATTTCAAGCACTTACTATCGCCATTGTCTCGAAAGTCGAGTCGAAACTCCATGTTGTGCGATGACAGTAACAGCCATCATCCAACACCATTGGATAGCAAAGCACCCTCTCGAAAGCCTAGCCATAGCTCCATATTGGATGCTTTCAATCTCCACAAAGCGAAACAGAAATCAGATTCACCTTCCTATGAGCGACGTTTGATCAAGCCATCCCACGAGGAAATCGATAGCAGCGACCCTTTGAATCACCACTGGGACGACACACCGGGTGAGGACCCCTATCAAGAATTTCACCCAGACAAGTGTATGCATATACCGCTTCGTAGAAAGCAAGTGAAACAAATAGCATCTCGGCAAGAAAGAATTGACTTGTATAGTAAGTTTCATTTCAACACGTGCATCTAGCAGTACACTGGCTAACCGCGCCTTCATGACTAGATAATGCCTATCTGGACTGTATGCAAGCTGAAACAGATTTGATTCCCTGGATACTGAGCCAGACACAGAAGGGTCCTCCTGATGCTTGGTTTGGCTATACTCCTCCACCTAAAGAACCCAAGAAAATTCTTGGCATTTTTAAACGTAAATCTACATCAACAAAAGCCCATGGCAGCAGCAGGGCACAACAGCAACAGCAATTAGGTGAAGAGATTTCCAATAGGGCGACACCTCTATTACAACGGCATCTCAGTAATAGCAGTTTCCATCATCTGTCGACTTCTCCAGCGGCCCTGTCGTCCATGTCGGATCAGCAGCCTCAAGTAGTAGACCAGGGAGATTCAGCTTATACAGACGATCTCCCAGATGCAGTACAGCAAAAAGAGCAAGTGTTTGATGATGACGACGTGGAAGTGCCTGTAGAGACGTTGCATACATCATCCCATGCTGTCCAACCTGTATCTATTCTTAAAAAACCAAAAATCAATCAAAGAGAATCCTTCATTGCACCCATCGACATGTATGACGATCAAGCTCTGGGTATAGATTATACGGACAAAAACATAGTACACCGCACTTATGCGGAAATGGAGGATATGCCCTATGACGATGCCTTCGCGCCAGTCACAGACGAAATCCATGTCTACCCACAACAACTGAAAGGTACTTTACATGGTCACAGGAACAACAGCTTGCTATCGAGTACACATGATCACTTTGTCAAAGATGACGAACGCGTCTTGAACCGACGCAAGAGTAATTCTTCGACTTATGGTAGAAGAAGGAAACATAGTTCAACACTACACGATGACACGTATGAGCAATGGATGTACCCATCGCCCCCCACTTTACAGAGCCGATATGATGAAGAGAACACCCATCCCTCGGTAACGACATCGACTGCTCCTCATTATCAAACATCGATTCACCGCCGCAACTCACGGCTAGAATACAACAGCAGGTATCATGAAAATAGCAATGCGGAAGAAAAGAACAGTCATTATTTTCCTGCGGACCATTACGCTCACCACGAACAGAATGAAACATCAAATGCAAACTCTCATTTTGTGGGTAGAAAATTGTCTACCACACGTCGGCATCAACCACAGCCATATCACCGTTACCAAGACGATGCTCCTTACAAACCCAAGAGTAACAGATCGTCTTACTTTGCAGAAGAATGGGAATATAATTTGGACGAATTATGCGACCTGTTTCCGCGATTCAGTCGAGACTATTTGAATGAATTTTTGGAATCTGCTCAAGGTGATTTCGTAACCGCTGAAAGGATGATCCTTGATAGAGTCATGGCGTCTTCCAGACGCTAGCAGAATTTTTGTCCTACTTTATTTGAATGCAAAACCATATACCGAATCTTTGTATTTATTCTATCTATTATTTTTATTGTTTCCGTAATAAATTAACTGTAATGGACGCATGGAAAAAGCAGCTTCGTAGGACGACTTGGCGCTAAGTAACTCTTTATGTCAAGTTGTACCTTATTTTTCTAATTTCCGAAATAATCTATCCTCTCTTTATCAATTACGAGTAAATAATAAATGTTTCATCCATTGCTGACATTCCATCGTTATTTGGAGTGTTCATTGTGGTAAAAACGACAGCCACTTTTACCTGCAATTTTAGATGAATAGGCTCTGTCCTTTGCTAGTGACACCCGTCCATTGTGGATGATACAAGGAAGAATATTTATTGTACTTTCAAACCGCCCGTCTCGTCAAGCCGCAAAAAAAAAAAAATAGTGGATGACGAAAGATGCTTTTCCAGCGAACGTATATGTAGTAATAACCGTCATATTAAAAGACACATACGCGACTCGGATGTTCATTGATAAGATGGACTAAGGGGGATATCTATCGCTAACCACAAAAAATCAAAAGAGATACGAAGGATGAACGTGATCTATGCTATTAATTTTTTTGGATTAGGCATGTTGGACATCTGGATAGAGTTCTATTTGTTGATTTACCACCGCGCTCAGTAAAGGAAAGAAAGATGGATCGCTTCATACAATAGTCAATATGATGGAGACTTGTCAGTATGAAACATCAAACATCTACACAATAACCAACTCTTTTAATAAGAGTCAACGAATTGATGATAACAATAAAGATACAATTGTTGTTGACAGGTACAGTGAACCAACACTCTCTTATTTCTCATATTTTACCTACAAGCAACCAAAGATACTGAAGAAAAAGGAATGTCGTAGTTAGCATATCTGTAGGATTAAAGTGCGAACAGTAGAGCTTCCTGTTGCTTTTCATTATGTCTTTCAGTTTAATAAATAGATCAAAAGTGAGGAATAGCTATCCTTCCTTAGGTAGATACGATACAAAGTGCAGGCATATATTCTTTTTTGTGCGCGGCAATTGAGACGAACAATAAATTGCGAAAGGGTGCAGCTCATTCAGTACTTGTAAAGAAAAAAAAACCCCACAAAGTTTGAACTAGCTCAAAACAAGTAATGTTCTTGGCATTGTATAATACAAAGACATAGAAAACTTTCTTTGGCGGGACTCTCTCTGCCGCATTTGGTACGGCTCCGTTACGATAGCATTACAGATCCTGATTTCTTTCAAGATAAAGATGTCATTGTCGTCTACTAAAGCTTATCCATTGGTGAACGCGACTGGTATTCGTTAACTATTGTATCATCCATGTGTCATTTTAAGCCTTTCAGCTGCACACCGTCCATCGTCTTTTCTTCTTTTCTTTCTGTTGAACTTTCGCAAGTCATCTTCATATTCAATGAATCCTGTGAGCACTAGGTTATGCTGACCTATCCTACAGCTTTGTCTTGAGATAGGTCATTTACATTATCCGCTATCATTTTAGAGTTTAGAACCGCAAATTCTTCTTTTAGATGTCTGTGGCTTTAAAAACGAATCATTGTTTGTGCTGCCTAAACCTACATTACTCTCATCTCAAAGAAGGGGTTTCTTGAATCACTCATCTATTTTGGCATCTGCCACTCAGACCATGTTGATATGCAGTTGGCTACGTGCTCAACAGGTTTCTCAAAACATTAAATTTTATCCATTTCCCGTTCAAGGTTTTCAGCAACGGGAACAAACGCACGAGAAAGCACTGCGCGCATCTGGTGGAAAAAATACCAAGAAGATCCTGATTCATTTGTTCTCGGCAAGAGCACCAATCGCCAGAACAGACCGAAACCACAGCTTCAGGATACACATAAGGAATGCTTGAAACAACTTTACGACGAGAATCCTAATGCCTATATCCAGGACGCTGTTGAAATGCTTACAAGCAAGTTCGAAGGCCTGAGATAAAAAAAAGTCAAGAGCATGAGGAACGAATGTAGCTTGACTTTCAAGCAAACGACTCCCTGGTCTGAGGCAAGAACGAGTTCGAGCACTATTAAGAAACGTTACAATTGGGTTGGTGAATAGAGTCTAACGGACATGGAATATTCCCTAAATTGCGTGTTTATTGATGAAGCCGGCTTTGACATTAATATGAGGTAAAGCAGAGCATGGGCACCAAGGGGCCCAAGGGCAGTAACTACTACATCTACGACAAAAGCCCCCACTCATACCATTCTTGGTGCTATTTCAGCAGTTGGTGTTATAAATTTGAATATACGTATTCCAAGACAGCCACCAAAAGTGAGAAAAATTCAAGGTAAGGAGGTAGTCCGAAAGTAGATTGGGATTTGTCTAGCGCAGCGGGCAAAGCCCATATAAAGAGTAAGAGGCAACTTAGTAGTTACCCATGTACCTATAACTAGTTCTAACCAGGCGAAGCGTGGTTGCTTTTTAAACTATACGGAATAAACTTTTGGATGAGTTGCCACTTTCTGGATAAGATCGGTTGGTCATATATGGATAGGTTAGCGATTGTCCCTTACTCTGCTTTACCTCATATTAATGTCAAAGCCGGCTTCATCAATAAACACGCAATTTTCGGAATATTCCATGTCAGTTAGACTCTATTCACCAACCCAATTGTAACGTTTCTTAATAGTGCTCGAACTCATTCTTGCCTCAGACCAGAGAGTCGTTTGCTTGAAAGTCAAGCTACATTCGTTCTTCATGAATTCATGCACTCTTGACTTTTTTTATCTCAGGCCTTCGAAGTTGCTCGTGAGCGTTTCAACAGCATCCTATAGGCATTAGGATTCTCGTCGTAAAATTGTTTCAAGCATTCCTTATGTGTATCCTGAAGCTGTGGTTTCGGTCTGTTCTGGCGATTGGTGCTCTTGCCGAGAACAAATGAATCAGGATCTTCTTGGTATTTTTTCCACCAGATGCGCGCAGTGCTTTCTTTGACACCTACCTGAAGTGCAGCAGCCTTGACTGACATCAGCTTTTCTATCTTGTTTTAAAAAAAAGCTCTCTTGTAGAGAGGCTATAATCACGATATTTGGGGGCTCTTTCAGTGCTTTTAGGCACGGATGATTCCCTCTCAATGTTATTCGCTGAATCTAGGCTGACTAGTTTGCTTGATGGCAAATGGGTCGGCTGGTTCATCTATAATATCTATTGCTTCATTCCCCCTCTCATCATAGATGCTTTCCCGCCCATTTTCTGTTAAAAAGACTAATTTTGACTAACAGCGATCAACAATGAATTAAACCTCTCTCAATTCGCGAAATCAACTTCTGTTAGTCCCCCAATTTTTTTTAAAAACTCCGCGAACTTATTTCTAATTGAGAGTGGAACGACTGTGTCTAAATAATATTTTTATGTCTAAATAATATTTTTATGTCTAAATAATATTTTTATGTCTAAATAATATTTTTATGTCTAAATAATATTTTTAATTTGTTACATTATACACATAGAGAGAAGGAGGATCAGCGTTACCATAATTGCCTACATTATTAACACATGTAGTGGCAGCAACAGCTGGTGTTGGGATATAATTGATACAGTGACATACATAATAGTTATTACTATTCATATTAAAATTACTAGCTGTTATAGTTACATTATTTCCTAATCCAATATACCACGGAGCCACACCATCCAGTTTACCTGAACCCAAACATGCATAATAACAATTATCCGGAGTAATTGCAGTGTTGCTAATAAATCTAACAACAGGACTAGTACCAGTTGATTGCACACAACGACCACTATTAGTATCATATAACGGTTGAGGTAGTGCTGTAACTGCTGCTGTTTCAGTTACTGTTGTTGATGTTGTTGTTGTAACTAGATCAGTTGTAGTTGTAGGTATTGTTAATGTATTTGTTATTGTATCCGTAAGCACATTAGTAATTGTATTTGTAACGGTTGTAGGAATTACTTGCGTAGTGGTAGTAGGTACTATTTCTGTGGTGGTAGTAGGTACTATTTCTGTGGTGGTGGTAGGTACTATTTCTGTGGTGGTTGTAGAAATGACCACTTCCGATGTAGTGGTAATAGAGACTACTTGCGTAGTGGTAGTAGGTACTATTTCTGTGGTGGTGGTAGGTACTATTTCTGTGGTGGTTGTAGAAATGACCACTTCCGATGTAGTGGTAATAGGGACTACTTGCGTAGTGGTAGTAGGTACTATTTCTGTGGTGGTTGTAGAAATGACCACTTCCGATGTAGTGGTAATAGGGACTACTTGCGTAGTGGTAGTAGGTACTATTTCTGTGGTGGTAGTAGGTACTGGCACCTCCTCAGTTGTGGTAACTGGAATTACTTGCGTAGTGGTAGTTGGTACTGGCACCTCCTCAGTAGTGGTAACTGGAATTACTTGCGTAGTGGTAGTAGGTACTGACACCTCCTCAGTTGTGGTAACTGGAATTACTTGCGTAGTGGTAGTAGGTACTATTTCTGTGGTGGTAGTAGGTACTGGCACCTCCTCAGTTGTGGTAACTGGAATTACTTGCGTAGTGGTAGTTGGTACTGGCACCTCCTCAGTAGTGGTAACTGGAATTACTTGCGTAGTGGTAGTAGGTACTGGCACCTCCTCAGTTGTGGTAACTGGAATTACTTGCGTAGTGGTAGTAGGTACTATTTCTGTGGTGGTAGTAGGTACTGGCACCTCCTCAGTTGTGGTAACTGGAATTACTTGCGTAGTGGTAGTTGGTACTGGCACCTCCTCAGTAGTGGTAACTGGAATTACTTGCGTAGTGGTAGTAGGTACTGGCACCTCCTCAGTTGTGGTAACTGGAATTACTTGCGTAGTGGTAGTAGGTACTATTTCTGTGGTGGTAATAAGTACTGGCACCTCCTCAGTTGTCGTAACTGGAATTACTTGCGTAGTGGTTGTAGGAATGACCACTTCCGATGTAGTGGTAATTGGGATTACTTGCGTAGTAGTAGCAGTAGAGGTAGTTGTCATTGTATTTGTACAGTCGGAGGCATTATGATCAGGATGGGGATTACATCCTTCGAAGGCATCGCAGGTGCCGCCAATAGCGTGGTAATCGTGGATTTCAACACCGGCACCCAAGTTGAACCAAGTATAGTCCCTACCTACAACGGTACCAGCAAAGTTACCTGTAGAACCATCAATAATGTGGGCTACAAATAGAAGAGAGAATGGAGTTATTAGGCTTTTTTTATTTTTTCTTATTTTATACATGTCTCTTGCAGAAGATTGGCTTACCTTCAGGGGCCATGGTCAAACCACCCAACTGAGAAGTAGTGGCACGGTAAACGGTGATTTCACCATCACGCAGGTAGACGCCTCGGTCGTCAACAGGATAAATGTTCCAAACAACTTGACAAGGATTGAGACTATCAAGAGGATCATTGGTTCGAAGGGTGAGGGTGCCACGATTGATGACAGGAATCTATGTATCGTCAAAAAGGAGGGGGTTAAAAGAGACATATGGACGAATGGCATCAAAGGATCAACAGCGTTCTTTTACTTACATTAAAGACATAAGTCTTATTGGGATCAATAGGTTGGAAACCGTTCCAATTACCTGAGCCTAAAAGAATATTGGAAGGGTCTGATTCCGTATTGGGGTCAAGACTACATTGCATTCCCCCGCATTGGCCAAAAGTGATAACCTCGTAGTCAGGATCGGATCTGAATTGAGTAAATGCACCGTTAGGTTCGATGATAGCAGTAGGATCCATATAAGCATAGCCTTCATTGTTATCTAGGGCGGCTTCTCGAACGGCAAAGAAATCGAAATCGCCGGTGCCAAGTTGGTTAGTCACTTGAAAGCCGGCTTCTGACTCTCTAATTTGGTCCAGGGTGCCTCCGCCGGCGATCAAAGCGTTACCGTGGACTTGTGTATCGGAAGTAATGGCAGTTCCCCCAACAACAAGACCCATAGAACCGATGGAGGAAGGATTGTCATCACAGTTAGAGCCGTTGTTGGCGTTAATAACAGAATTGGGAGCAGTAAAATTGCCACCAACAGCGAGAGGGCCCATGATATCAGAACCACCACCCGTTTTAAAATTACCAAAGAAGATGGCATTGAAATGGCTGAACTGTAGTAGACATTATGTTAATAGATGAAATGGCATTTCATGACAAATAGGATAATCTTTTTTCTTTTTCCTTCAATACTTACAGCATTGTTATTTAATCCATAACCAGTACATGTACCAGGAGGTTGAGGTACGGGAGGAGGAGGGAAAGGACGGTTACCAGGATCAATAGGATTAGGAGGAGGGAAAGGACGGTTACCAGGATCAATAGGGTTGGGAGGAGGGAAAGGATGTATATTCTGACCATGATGGGAGCCATGATGATGATGAGGAGGAGGCATCACAACACGACCTCTTGCCTGTACGCTTGTGACGACAAGCAATGCTGAAAGTGCAATAGATAAAAAGCGAACCATAGTCGAAGGAAAGGATGCACTCTATTTCAGTAAGTTGATGTTTGAAAATGATGAACAGAATAATCGTTAAAGTCGAAAGTCAAAAGGCTCTTATTTATAGATGAAAAGGGCTTGAGACGACGATAAATAGGCTTTCACTTATTTACGAATGGTGGTAGTACCTTCAACAAAAAAGAAATCCTCCTTGCCACCATTTTGTACGGGGATTTTTTTTCAGGCTTCAGGAAACGGTCTGATTTCTAAATTTGATTGATTCTTTCAATTGCAACAGACTACATTCCACCCTTTGGAGCTTATAACAACTTAGCAGTAACGAAATGTTTAAGCAGCAAAAGGGATGAATAAGACTCTGTCTATATGATAGTGTATTTATTATGGACATCTTGAAAGCAAATAAGTGAAAGACGCTCTTATAGGGTTCCAAGTATTTCCTTAATGCCCGCTGATCTGCGGAAAACAACGCTAGACATTTTTTCAATTTTTAAAAATTAAAAAAAATGTCTAGCGTTAAGAAAGACTTTGTGAACAGGGAATTATCCATCTAAAAGGATTCTGTCTTTCATAATGCACACATCATCCGAATCAAGGCTCTCTTCGTTTTATAAACGGACAATGGACAATATATGGGTCAGCAGGTGCTAAAGAGAATGATATGGCTGCTCTCTTGTACTGATAAGTTATTCGTCATCTCATCCATTTTATTTAACCACAATACCCCGTTTCCCGTTCATAATATTACTATGCATCTCAACACGAATATATTGCATAAAGTGGCTCGAGAGTAAAGCGAACCTTCATTTTTCATATTTTTCAAATAGTTCAGAAATTTGTCATATACAGCTTTAGCAACATCAGAAGAAGATATTATACCGCTGCAATAAATATTATTTCCATATGCTATTGCTCGATTTACGCACGTTTACAAGTTGGATTATCAAAGACATTTTCGATTGGCACTCTAATAAAGAAAACAATAGTCATTTCAATAGTTGGCTGCAGTTTGGCTGACCTAATTGTCATGTCTGACCTCCAATTCGCTTAACAATCTGAGAAACAATTCAGATTTACTGCCTTTACCAGTTATAGTGTACTGAAACAAATAAGTTCCATGCACACTGACTCCCAAAACCAAATCAAAGATGATGACGATTTTTGGCGCTATTTCGCCCTATGGAATTGTGAATATCAAAGGGCTGCAAAGGCGATGGAAGCATCTAAAAAAAGAAAAGTAATAGGTAGTTGTGGCACAGCAGCAGTTGCTACAGAGAAAGGCAAAGGCGGTACCTGTACGGGACACTATTTCAATTTCATTGCCAGTACGTTAGATATTATGGACAAGCATGAACAGTTCAGAGGTCATAATTTGTAATGGATAATGCACCTATACATACACATGACGACATACGAAGCTATATACAGGGTCGTGGCTATGGATGAGTTTTATCTCCCGGCTTATTCTCCTGAATTGAATCCCATAGAACAGTTTTGGTCAGTTTGTAAAAGCAAACTCAAGCGAGAAGCACTTTTAGACGAAAAAACATTGACACTACGTATTCGCGATGCCTGTAACAGTATTCTTCTGAGTGATATAAAGGGTTTCTGCAGGTATTCCGTCCATAAGTTTCCTGATGTGTTTGGAGCGCAAACCCCTTTTTAGACAATTGGGACATTTGGCCCACTTTCATTTTTGTCCTACGGCCCAAATTATTTTCTCTCAGTGACCCATTTTATGCTCCGTCAGTCAGAAGTGTCCGAATAATTTCTGAAAATAGCGTACCTGCAGATGAGGCTCTTTTTCCGCTTTCCATCACTTTATATAATTTTTCCTTTTTAGGCAAGCGACTCAAATAGACGTTTACACATTGAGCAAAACCACATATCGAAAAACAAAACCTTTGACAACTGTAATGGGACCATTAAGAGGCTCCTACAATAAAGCTGCAGATCCTGCACTCTCAGAAGAGCAACTGTCTGCACTAGAAGCTGCATTCCCCACCGTTCGCAAACACCTAATATGTCCTGAATGTTTCGAAACTACAACGTTTCACAAACATGGTTCCTCGCCCAAAGAACCCTTTCAACCACAATTTGCATGTACTTCATGTCATAAAACCATCAAAGCGTTTGAATTATATCCCATAGTTCACGCCACTCTCGGAAGCTCTAGAGCTTCATTGAATTCCACACAAGCTATAAATAAAGAGACAATCACCTCCTCCGACCCCACTATTGGCAATAACCAAGCAACACTTGTCCAACAGTTATACCAGACTGTTGAACGCCTGACAAACGAACTCTCTGAAGCCCGTCGTGAAATCGACAACCTACAAGAACGTATCAACAATATGAACAAGGCTGCTGACCCATTATTATCTTCAGATTTCCCGCCCCTTCCGGAATCCCAAACCCGATCAACACCCTTCACCGATGCACCCTGGCACAACCCAGCGAAAATTCAGGTATTAAAACAACCATCATTACCAACCACCCTCTGAGAAACAAGGCTTCAAATACGTATACATTCCCACCAAAACGCGTATCCCAGTAGGCACTATTCGTACCACTTTCCGTAAACTCGGAGTCAATAATGCAAGACTCCTTGACGTACACTACCCCGCTCGTATCACGGTCGCGGTGCTCATACATAACGATTATGAAGCCGAATTCACAGAACTCCTCATCCACAAGAAAGTTAACCTTCTAAAAGATTTTACACCATTCAGCGGTAAAATCCTGGCTGATCCCAAATACACCTCACTTCCTGCTGCTGAACGCGACTCCATTGCAACTGAAATTCAGAAAAACCGTCTATCTCGAGCACTTGATTACATGAGAGCACAGTTAAGTACGCTGTGGCCCGCTCCTTCTTAGACCAAGAATGGATTACCCGCCCCAAATATGATTCTATTATGGCTGATCGCTACAATACGAAATTATCCTCAATTTTTGCTCAAACGCCTAAAGAGCAAACAAGCGAGGATATTATCACCCCCACATCAGATGATGACCTGCTAATGGATACTTTAGACGATTCTACAGCTCACGGACCTTCTTCCTCCGTTGTACATTAAATATATGAGAGCCCTGACAATCTCTTTATTTAATGCAACAGGCCTCCCGAAACAAGCGATCACACCTTTACTCCAACTTGCTAACAAATCTGATCTTCTTTTTCTTAATGAGACTTGGTTATTAACACCCAACAAATATCCAACCCTTTGGCCCCAATATCATACTTATGGAATACCAACTAACTCTATTAATACCCATCGTGGTACCCTCGGTCTCGCCCTTTTAGTTAACCCACAAAGCAAACTATCGATCTACCAATTAACACATAAACACCCCTTACTAGCTAAATATTCCTTATCCATCATTCTCTCCAACAAAATATTGATTCATTGCCTATATCTTCCTCCCTCCCTAAGAACTGAAGATATACAACAAATTTTAGATTTACTACCCTTACATCTACCACATACAACCAATACTATCATTTGCGGGGATTTCAATGCACGAATGGGCGACTTCGTGGCGATACCAGAATCAATCCCACAGGACGACTAATATTCAATTGGATGAGGGCTAGCAATCTTATTTTATGGAATGTTCCTCGCTTCATTAGTAAAAAGATCCAAGCGGCGAACAAAAACCGGGGATCAACCAATACCAAGTACTGTATACATTTGGAAGAGAAATTCTCTTTATTCAAGGCCATGTCTTTGTTGTCTATGATCATCGCTATGACCATTCTTCTGTCTGTAGGTTTATATATGGAGGATGCATAGAGTACATGTGGATAAAGAAGGATTTGAGGGAATATGGTACAATGATGACGGAAAACATGTCTATGCTGTATTGATGGACTTTGCAATCGAAAATAAGTGGGGTGAGGAATTTTATGGTTGTTGCACATCGCCCACAACGATATATCTGACAACGAAAAAGCAAAAAGTTCAGAATATTCCTGATTAAATCATTACTACATAACACCCTTACCCTTTGTCCGCTACAACACTTCTACGCTTGAAGAACACATCATATTTCAGAACCCAACGCGGTCTGACCTGTGTTGAATTGCTTTCAATGACGCCATACTTGTGTAGTAGTATAGATAATGCTTCTGTAGAAAGAATGTCTAATATAGATAATTCCCAATTTTAGCAAAATTTAAAGACTTACATCTTTGGTTGGTTTGTTTTTTCCTTGTTTTACCTGTTGTGTCTCCGTTAAACGTTAATTCAATATTCTCATGTTTTCCAAGGGTAATCAAATCCTGTGGTAAAGAACAACATTGTTCCACATGAACTTGGTTTATGGATGGTTTTATTTTATGCTCCTTATTGTTGATGAATGCTGATAATTTTTCACAGTCGAAATCGCATAAGCCGAGCTTAGAAACAACGCCCTTTTGTTGATATACTTCCAGATCCTTCCAGGTCTTTTCAATGGATGTGTTGCAATTCATATTATCAAAAGAAACAATCAGTGTGTCAATCGAATTTACATCCAAGAGTTGTTGTAAGTGGTAGATGGCTCTATCGATATGCGAGACTTCGGCTTCAGTTTCATGGGAATGTCTCAAATAGAATAGTTTCGCTAAAGACCATAGTCACATATATAATAAGTTCCAATGCCTGTCATTTAACTACCTATCCAATCCATTGTCGAACCTGTCACTTCTACTTCGTCTCTATCCACGGGATCAATACGGCTGCTCAATCTTAAATCAGGGACTTCCAATAATTCCTTTTCCTTAAAATATCGGTAAGACGGGGTATCTGCACCATACAAAGAGACTCTTAGAGTATCTGAAATAGCTTGCACTAACTATAAAAACAACGGTAACATGAATCAATAATCTATCATCAATGATGCGTGAGCGTATGTCTATGCTGCCATCTATAACTGGGCCAAAAAAGCATACCTCTGCATTTGATTTCTTATTCCAGTCTTTGCCCGCTGTAGTGGTTGTAAGCATAACATTACCGGTATAAAGCACAAGTTGCTTAAAATCTGGGATAGCAAGCTGATGTGGAAGATGTTGTGAGGGCATTGGCTATAATTATTGTCTAACAGATAATAGATAAGAGATAACAGAAACCCAGGAAAAAGAGACAGACAAGATGAGCAGGATCTCCGTTTTTATACTGTCCCTCAAAATCTGACAAAGCAGGAAAAAAAAACCCTTTTGGATTTGTCATAAAATTTCACCAGTCACTTGTCTGAAAAAGGAAAAAAGAAAGAGCGAGAAACGGGGAACAAACCTGACTTCAACTCTATTCTTTGTGCATTACATTACGTTTAAACAAAGATATTTTTACTATGTAATATTTAAAGCCCAATGGACACGAGATATTAAGCTTATCTAAATTGCCCGGGGCAGATCCAAAGGCTGGGTAGTATCTAAAAACCCCTTAGGGTTCAAGGGTAAAAAGGATTGTGTACTAAAAGGTTAAGGGAGGGGAAGAGGGTAACCAGTCGAGCAATAGATGCCCTAACCGAGGGGTTGTAGGCGGCTCTCGAGAGTGCGTAAGTAATCGAGTTCAAACAAAATGTGACAAAGTGCTGGCCATAGGAAATGCCAGTTTTGTATTTGGGATGGGTTGTAGATCGGGTGTGTGGGAAGACGGTTAAGGACATAGGATATGGGATCACAGACTGATGTGGGGAGTCGTAGGCGGTGGTGCATGTTTAGACAGGAGATAGCGTGTAACTTTGTAAGTAATGACGAGGGATGTTTAAGGCAATAGGTTCGGTGGCCTCCAGGGAGCCAACCCAAACGCCATCGGATACATCGGCTGCGTTCATTAGTTGACATTGGAATATAAAGGATCGGATCGATCATTAATCGAGAACGGCATTGAGAGATCAGTTTGGAGTTAGGGCTGTTCGATTGTTGGATGTGAAGGAGGCTAGTACGGAAGTTAGCAATACAGCGTCTCAGAGCAGCTGATTCAGATCGTTGATTGAGCGGAGAAGAAGTGTAGTCTTGCCAGATCGGAGAACGAGCAAGCTTGCAATATAACGATTTACTTTGTTGCTGGCCTATATATGGGAGTAGTATCGAGATTAAAGTATCAGTAGGCAGTGAGGTAGAACGTAATAGGAACTTAGCTTGTAGGATGAAGGAGCGTTCTTTCATGGTGGGCAGATTGGCAAGGTGGAGCATAAGTCGGGCAGACGATCTACTGGATCCACCAAAGATTCGTCGAATACACTTGTTCTGGGTATCTTCGAATTGTTTATATTGCTTCGCAGTTAGGGGGCTAATGGCCAGTCCGTATTCCATCTTTGCGCGGACTAATTGGGCATATAACCGTAGTGAGAGCAGTTTTTCGAATCCACCAGGATTGACACCGATTGCTGCTAATTGATTCATCGTAGTAAGGGCCTTAAAAGTGTTAGTACGTGCTAGTTCATTTATATCTATACTACCACCTGGTTGAAAAGGTATCCCTAGATACGGAAAAGTGAGCTGACGTTGTAGAGGAACTCCATAAAGCTGGTAATCTATAGGGTGCGTTGATCTGTCTAGGATAACACATTTATTCGGATGCCAACGATAACCTAGCCGAAGACTATGAGCTTCACATTGTTGCAACAGGGTCTGAAGATGATCTTTATCAGTAATCAAGACGACATCGTCGGCATATAGTAAACAGTTGATATTAAGAATCAATTCCGGAATAGGCAAGGAAAGATCCAGTGGGCTTGGACGGAGCAGTGAAGGTAGTTCGTTAATGTAATATGAATAGAGTATAGGGGATAGTATGGATCCTTGAAGAACACCAGTAGTAGGGCTGAAAGGTTCTGACTTGGCATTGTTCTGGAGGACTTCAATGCTGACATCGTCAAACATGTTTTGAAGTAGGGCAAGGAGCGGTTCTGGAATATGGGGACGAAGCATTGTCCATATGACGTTACGGTCAACCGTATCGTACGCTGATTTGATATCGAGGAAAGCTAGAACTGGTTCGATCTTGTGCTGGCGTTTCAAAATATTGCAGGTTTCCGCTAAACAAAGGGCTTGGTCTAAGGAGCTACGGGCAATACGGAATCCACCCTGCGCAATATCGAGTGGGGGACTATTGGCCAAAAGGTAATTTTGGATGCATCGCTCTAAAATTTTGCGAAAAATAGATGTAAGACTAATTGGACGGTAGTTACCTAGATCTGTTGGTGGGCCTTTCTTATAAATCGGAATTGTTTGGGCAATGCGCCAAGACTTAGGCGTATAGGACCATTTCCAGGTTAATTGGAAGAGATTTAATAGAAAGGGTGCTATTCGGTCGCTGACTGGTTGCAGCATTTCGATTTTGATATCATCCACCCCGGGAGCTTTCTTACGGGGGAGGCTTTTGATCGCATCCACAATGGTATCCTCAGATATGAAGAACTCGTTTAAAGTGAACGCTTGCGTGGGGTCAACTGGTGGTAATTCGCGTTGATACGGTGATGGAAGGTATTGACCCGAATACGTGCCTTGCATATGAGACGCCAAGAGATCAGCTGCAGCTTGTTGGACCTTCTGGGGTAGAGAACGAAGGGGTTAGATTTCGCTTCTTACGGATTTTACTAAAACGTGCAATTGCTTTGGTATACTCTTCATGACTCATCTGATAACAGAACTGTTGCCATGTTTCCTGTCGACGACTTCGATAGAGACGACGAAGTTTGGCCTTGGCTTGCTGATGTTTGATCCAGTAGTCAAGTTTGTTCAGTCCAGTAGCCCGGCGCCATTTCCGATAGTAGTATTCTCTTTGATCAAACGTTTGTTGCATTTCGACGGTCCAGAAGGATTCCAAGTTTATGACATGTGGTTGGGTGACCCGTCCACAGACTTGATCTAATGCGGCATAGAGAGCAGTACAAAGATTCGACTGTAAGAGGTGCATTACATTACAGTATTTTAACTAATATTTTAGATGAAATACATTTTTTTTGGACGATTAATATTTTATTTTAGATGAGTTGCAATTGTGTTGTAGACGAAAATATAAACCGTTCAAACAATAATTCAAATTCCAAAAACTTGTCAGTAGTGCGAAACAAAAGAAAAAAAAAAGAAAAAAAAACCGTACTATTCCTCACCTGTAATGATCTAAATCCTTAAAATATAAGGAAAACCGTGTTTATTACGGCGAAACTTTCTTCTTCTTCGCTGGCTTGAAAACGTCGGGTCTTCCCGCTCCAGACCAAACTGCTTGAGATATAGTCATCATGTTGATAGCGGCGTTAATGTCTCTCTGCCATAGCTTTAGACATTGCTTGCAATGAAGAACGCCGGTACCCTTGAATCCAGGAGTATCAACAATTTGCATATTGTTGTATCCAACATCATATTACGCGTAGATTATTACATAATGCTAAATAAGAGACTACAGATCCTTATAATGATTGGTTTAATCTTGAGTGATAGCTTTGTCAGAACAATTCTTTTCGATCCCGGAAGAAGATCTCATCTGTATGTACATCCGAGACAACATTATATGAGTAATTGACTTGATTTAGAAATAAATTAATATAGTATTTGGATTTGAATAAATCAGATAACTTTATTTTGCAGATCAAACAATATACATATATTTCATCTATTCAAGCTATTATTCAACTTATTGTTCCTTCACTTTAACTCTTTACCTCCTGACAAGATTCAGAAGACTTCAACGGAGACATCGGCAGAATCGAGGAATAGTTTATCTTGCCGTCCCGTTAGCTATAATGAATCTGCCGAGATACGGGTCAAAGGAATCTTTCATCAGATCAACTCACTTACCTCCATTTACCGATCCAATCGGTCAAGGCACCACTCTGTCACGATTAGCCGTACAATAACAATTGGGTATGTCTTTTCTTTTATCATCAGGTCATCTTCTGTTCAAGGGTCCCGATAGAAAAAGTTTTTTACAATATCCACAAATATAAATAGAAGTACTTTTTTCCTACATGGTTTTTGTCTTCATTCTTTATCTGAATATTCTACTGAATAAAAGAAGATAACTTGGTTTTCACAGACTTCCTTTGTTTTCTTTTCTCTCTCTATTCTTATTATAACATATACAACACATATCATCATAGAAACAGAGGCTGCATGTTTTAGAGGTTTTGAATTCATCGATTGTGACAACAATCAATTGACCTTCAGCTTCACGTTTCCTCAGAGTTGCAAAAAGTTTACCGACAACACCGCATCTTTGCCCTTTCAGCTTGACTACATCTTTTCCAAACATTCCAGCACCAAAGACAATCAGTGGTACCCTTCTAGGAATCCTGAGTACTTATCAACCTTCCACTTCTTGTCACTTCTAAAAATTATCAATCAGTGCGTAAGCTAAACGATGAACATGTAATTCATTGAAACTCACTTTGATGGCTGCTGTTCGTTGACATTCTTTCCTTTCTTTTTTTTCTTCTTTGCCTTGCTTCTCTTCTTGCGATTGTATTTGGACGTTCCATGAGTCAACATGTTGGCCATAGTTTCGGGTGCTCTTTGCCTTCCTTGGTACTGTGGTATTTGACGACTTGTGGAGTTAAATATCACTTAGTTAAAACAATAAAAAGTTAACGAGATCAAACTAGTACGTTTTATTTTCAATCAAGTTAAGTTCCAAGAGAAGAAAAATATCTACTGCAAAAATTTAAATATCTTCTTCATATTGCGGAACCTAGAAACTGGCAGCTGAGTTATTCTACTCAAAGAAGACGTACGTCTTCTGAACCGTAAAAGAATAGAATTCTCCCTTGAGGAGATTACGCATCTACCCGGAGCGGGTGGACTTGCAAAAGTATCCATGGCTTGATCTAGTGATCATGCAACTAGCCTATTTTCCCGTGCTAACCATTATGTGGCACTGCTTGCAGGAAAATAGAATTAATTAGGAAAATAGTATTCGTGCGTGGTGATCGAGTTGAGTGAACAGTTATTGTAAAGGATGATCACAACCTATTATCTTGTAATCATTCTTTACGCCGAAGGCAGAGAATAGTACTTATAACCTATTATACCTTGGTGTTGAATCAATATATCCTGCATGTCCATATATTCATTCTACTATATATCCTATGTCATATAGTAACGTATTATAGCAAAATAAGTAAACTATATATCCTAAATGACAACCTGTTCAGCCTTATACGAGGTAGCTAATCTCGTATAAGAATCATCACTTATTCTATATTCGTTTTCCTATTCTACTTTATATTATTTCAGCAGTAATGAGGTGTGAGGATCTTGTATAATTTGTATACGAGGTCTCCACATCTCATATGATGCTGTCAACTAAACACAACACTTAATTCACGGTACTCATATATTAGAGTTTATGTAGTTTCTAATTATTTCTGGTTTGCAATATTGTATAATTCATCTTTATCCTTCACAAAGTGAATTATATCTTTAATATTTGTATATCATCTACCCTCAAATACGACAGGTACAACATAAACCGGTCCTTTGCAGTTTCGGGTCCATAAAAAGTCAAAAGAGCGTCCAGGTTATTGAGTGTATAGGCAGTGTATAGCTCATATAGTTCCAAACGAGAGGGTTTTGGCGAGGGTATCTGACTTTCTATGAGATCTATGCCTGTAACGGCCTTCTTTCTGTTTACTTGGTACTGTATTGGGTCGACCCTGTCATATGATAGTATTCAGATGTAGTGCATCTTCGCACTTGTCTGTTATATTCAAGGCCAATAGCAGCAGTAAAAACAGACTTTCTTCCAGGATCTAGGGTAATAGGTAAGTAAGTCTTATCAATTTCTTCCAAAGAGAAATCATCTAGAGTGAGATCCAATTTTTGGAAGGAGGCACCATGGCCAGATTGTTGTCTTTTATAAAAAAGAAAGTCAACGGAAAACCCATCCGTTCTGACAATATTACCAAAGAGCTCTTTGTTATCACCATTCGGTGTTAGCTCAGAGATACTACATGTGCCCAAGAAGTTAAACCTCATACATTATACTCGACTGTATACCGTACTAACTGTATGCTTACCTTTCGTACCGGAGTTTCTTGAAATCAAAGACATTGAAAAACAGCTCTAATTGGCTTTGGTAATTGCGGGATAAAGGACGTTTCACAAAAGAAGACAGCGCGTTCACACTCAAGGTAATGATCCTCCATTGAACAGAAACCTTTGGCAGTAAGGATAACAATTTTGGAAGAGAACGTCGTCGTACGTCAAATGACTTATGACCATCGTGTTCCCTCTCAAATTCTGCGTTCAAAGATAACAAAAAGGGTACGAAAGACCCAGGATCAGCAGATAACGTCTTCAAGTTCATTTTCTTCTCCAGCTTCTTCTTCCAAGGTTCACAGAAGGTTTGGATCTTTGCTTTTATATCTTCAGTAAGGTAGTCATCAGTTGCCATTTAGGTTTTCCTTGGCATATCTCTTGATAGCAGAAATCACTTTTGACTTTTTTTACAAGCTTCCAAGGCATACACTACGCAAGATGAGAGCTTTTTTTAAAATTCATGTAAGACCCAAGTAATATTGAATTGCAACTTACCACAAATGCTGTTTGTATTTTATATATCAAAAAATAGAGAAGTCTCTCCTCGAAATTTTCCACTATATTGTTCGTATAGGAAGTAGCAATTTCGGTACATGCTTCTGTAATGGCTTGACTAAGTCCAGGAAAGAGCTTGACAGGGAAGACAATCTTAGGGTAAGTCGTTTTAAAAGAATCAAACGAGCTCAGTAATTGTTGTGATATCAGCCTACTATTTGTTGGCCTTTGTCCATTCACTAGTTGTATCATAGAGTACCAGAAATTTTGTGTAAAGATACATTTAATACACTTTGGCTCAGCAAGAGTGGCATTTTGCAAGACGTAATAATTCACAAAGAGCTTGGCTCTAAGAACCAAGTTGCGGATAACAGAACAAGCTTCAACAACTTTTGACTTGAATGTGTTGCGATAGTCACCAAAAACACAGTTATCAAGAGGCAACCTTCTTGTAAACGCCTTGTAATTACTTCCCAAATGATGTTGAAAGACCTCTGCCTTTGATAACACATGTTGAGGACACAGAGGAGAACGCACCGATTTATGTCCTGGTTGCTTGCATTTGGTACAACACGCATTGTCTTCATCTGGGTCTTCATCTTTTTCTTTCCTTGCTTTTTTCTTTCCTTTCTTGATTTCAAAATTCTGTTTGCGTTTTCTGCCTTTCGAACCAACTATAGGTACAATGAGGTCGCTTACTAATGATGACTTTACCAACTTTCAAAGCCACCTGAGCTGCTGACCTTGATCTGCAGTTTCTGTCTCATACAATTGACATTTAAAGTATTGTTGGGTGTAATGACCCCCTTTACCGCAATCAATACACGTTACATCTAACAGTACACGATGATTAATCTATACGTATATATATGATCAGGTAGATAGGCTTTTTTCTTTTCATAAATTATTGTTTTGAACATGGGTCATAGTATGTATCTTAAAACGTGAAATAAAAGTGAAAGAGACAACATTTGACTATAAGAGAACAATATATTTTATAGTGCTTTCTTTGAAAGTCACCCATAAACGCATATAAAAAACATTGACAACAGATAATATAACCATCCCGTTCCGCTATGGTATCTGTTATACTATGGCCCTCAGCCCTCTATCAATGGTTTGATGTCAATCAATTCAAAGTTGACCTTTTTTGGAACTCAGGCACCGACGAATATCGGGTTGGTCTCGGAATACATCGTCATTGAATAAAGTTGTCAATCCTATTGCAAGATAACGTCAATAAAACCATTATTGGGACTTTTTTACTGATAGAGACTCATTTCCAGGGTCGATTGTATGTCATCCTTAATGCTGCTTGGATATCACTGAATAATTGAGTATCCAAATTCGATATCCAAAATACTATGAACTTTCTAAAAATATTTTTTAATAAATCTATATTTAAAATGTATATTGTCCATTAAAAATTGTAATTCGTCTAAAATGTAAGGTAAAATACATTATTGACGCGGTCCAAAATTTAATTGGCAAGCATCTTTGAAGATCACGTTGCTGGCTTCTCTGCTCGTTTCTTCCCAACAAACCTTGAAGTAAGAACAATTTGAGCTCATACTTTTTTCATTGAAAATCAACAAAGCAATGATGCGATGAAGGAGGTAGTAGAACCTTTTCATTAAGAGATGCTAGCGACATTACAAAAGTAATAACAAGCTCAGTTATCTGAGCCCTCAAAAAACAAGAGTGACGACACGATGAAGGCTTTGGATAAAGTTGGTTTAATGACGAACGATGGAAACACTTTTTACGATTAAAAGAAGAACTTACATAATCTCTCCAGTCTTGTTCTTTCATTTACGAAAACTGTGATAGCTTCTACGGTTACATACTGGACATCAATGGCTAAAAGATGAAAAATTGAACCATATCGAATAAGCAAAGAAATAAAGACAAGCAATAAATTGGAGTGTACAGCAGGAACATACAGAATCTATAATCAATTCATATGATCAGAATGCTCAGACACGCGTTGCGAATGTTGTTGAAAGTTTGACAAAAAGGCTGTAGCTGCCCAGGACGGACAGCAATCCCCAGATAGAGAGACAATGGCGGTCTTTTTGATGTCAACTTTGACATTACTGGCGTCTCCGTACATAGTCAACAGTTGTTCCAGTATGGGCCATTCATCAGGTGAGGCAAGAAAAACTTTCAAATCATCGGCGTAGCTTAGTAATTTGAAAACCGGGGATGCCGAACGATTGGAAGATTGGCCATTAAAGAGATTTGTGATGAGAAAGGTGACAGTGATACTCCCTTAAGAGAAGAGACCAAAATTGTACATAGAAATGGCTTGAACATCAAATTGAAGAGCAGAAGCGATAAAGTATTTCCTTGGCATAGTCCACGACCTTGACATAAAGGCTTTCCCAGAAAACCATTAATCGAAACAGAGATGGCCGTTGAGAAAAATAAGGACATTAGTGCTGAGATAGGATGAGGAGGAAAGTTGAGCCGTAACAATGGTCTCCAAATACTCAGGGAGGTAGGGTCACCCTTCTTGAACAGCAACACCATCCTAGTTTGTTTCCAACATAAAGGAATATTACCATGTAAGGCCTCATTCAAAACGGTTAAGAATAAAAGTTTAGCTTTGGGAAACTTGTTGATCAAGAATTTGTAAAGTTCGAAAGGCAAACCGTCCAAGCCAGGACTCTTTTGGTTGGGAGTATGATTCACTACATCTAGCAATTCACCGGTAGTAAAATCAGCTCCCACAGTATGTGAAGCCTGTTCCTCTTAAGATCACATTGTCTGGTATATTGGCTAAAAGAGTGTCCACTGCTGCTAAATTGTACAGTTGCCACGGGGCGATACCGGGTTAAAGTAGTTGCCCACGACCGGTCCAATCTGATCGATAACAATTTAAAAGCTTCAGATTGATGTTCAAACAATCTGCTAGGTAAGCTAAATATAACAGCTCCTGGCATGAGAGCGGTCTGTACAATGGATTGTATACGCTGAGAACGGAGGTATTCAGCGACCTCAAAGGGTCTTCAAAAATAGTTTCGACAGTGTACAACTTTTTTTTTCTGGAATATCGAATTGACTTTGAGAAAGAGGAACTTTAGTTTTTAAACCTTTGGCCACGATGGTTGACCAGTTAGTCCCATGTTTGGTTTGTGAATCGATCGTCATTGGTTGACCGACGACCAGAGATCTTGAATGTAAAAATGTAGTTGTTGTTTGCGAATACTACAATCTGATTGGTCAGTTCAATAAAGGTACTGAATAGACGAAAGAAAGGCCTCTAGGCTCTGTCGCATTTGAGGCACGATGGCAATATATTATGAGTATCACTCAAAACGTCTAACGGAATGTAAAAAATAAAATTATGATCTCAGAGATGAGTACTGCTCATACATTCGTTCTCGTTTGGTAAGCGGTGCGTTCGATTGCATACGTTCTAAGTCTAGATCAAATATATAATAAATAAAAGAATATAGATTAAGGATAACAGGTTATCTTTATGAAATGTATTTTACTTAGATTATCTATGGCTATATAACGTTTAGATATACAGCACGATTGGTATATGTACTAGTAGGATAACAACCAGAACATAGTAGTTCACGGTACTGCTCCTGCTCTGGAAATAAAGTATGATTGGAGATAAAAAGGCTCAATCACTCTTTATTAATATAACAACTGTTATCGCAATTAAAAGAATACGACGGACGAATATTTCTTCTTAGCTAACATCTATAATCATTTCCACAATATTTGAGTTATACAACTGGTGGCCAATAAATATTGGATTATAGTGGTAGCTGCATGATCACCTTGGATCTGCCAGGATAGCACATTGCAAATTAATCCACTCTGGGATGAAGGAGTAATTATCCACTTAGGGAAGACCTATTCTTTTATGGAAACCTCTGACATACTGAGTATTATCTAACCATGATACATTAGTGTCGGTTATAGATCCCAAAACACTAATTTCGTAGACAGCAAACAGTATGACTCTTTTGATAATAGCAGCAATTCTAGTTTTCTTTTTCTTTTTCTCTAGTTTGTTTATGAAAGAGAACTAAAGAGGTGATTTGATTTCGTTAAGCTTTCGTGTTTTGTTTTCTCTTGTGTTATTCATTATCTTTTACTTAATGCGGATGTTCGATGTTTACCTTACATGTCAAAAATGAACTTGAAACCGAAATATAGCCATTTTGAATTTACCCAAAGATGTAAGAAAAGTGGTCCATGGTGACTAAATGAGAGAGGAATATTTTGAGACAACCTCATTAATATATGGTGGAATTTGGTTCATACACGTGTAAAAACTGATTTTGCCGCTTCAAGGACAATGGTCATAGATCTATCACAAATTCTGGCAACCAAAACATTTAATCATGATGTTATTATTTAATTCATGTAACAGTCGACGTAAGGAGTGTCTGTTTCCTCCTTAAACATAATTGTAGATGTGCAATGCAGTTGTTACGTATTCTGACATTTATAGGGCTATCTGATGATTGAGTTAGTTATTAAAACAATTTCTTGACTTTCAAATCTAAGTGCAACCACGCGTCGGCTTTGCTCCTCTTCTCGCTCGATGCGTTTATACAGCTCAATTCATTTATACAATCAGACGCTCATATATAGCCGAATCCTTGGCTGATAAGCATGAGATACACTTTGGACATTTCTGGGAGAGGGGCTAACATTACGTCTAAACCCTAATGAATTGAACGAATATTTATTATACACTATGCATCTCTAATCTACTATATGTACTAACTAAACCATCTTTTGATGCTCTCACGTTTTTTCACAAAGGATAAAGTTGGTACTGTGACAAGGCGATCCTTTCTTACAATTATTTCATCATTTCAGTTATATAATACACCCAACTCTAACTTTTGACACTGCACCTCATATGTAAGTATTACAGCATTTCTTATATTTTTTCTTTGTGCCTCTTTACGTATTAATAATGAATACCTTTATCATATTTCATTGATCTGTCTCGAAATTGGTCTCATAGTTCATATACTCTACCAGTATATTATGACATGACAAAATGTAGATTTTCGAAATTATGGTCAAATTGTTGTGGACCATTTTTGTTATCAAAAAGGAAATTATAAGCTGTTTTCTGCTCTGAATGTATCCCAGGCTTGGTTAAAGTCGTGAAGATGCCGCTTGCTAACATACGCTGTCAACAGTTGCAGTAGCAGGAAGCTGCCAAAGAAGAAAAAAAAAAGAGTACATGTCGTTTAGGTATGGCTAAAGTTGTGCTCATATCAATTGAAAAGTTTTCATAGGTGTTTCTTACCTTATCAGGGTGTACTTGAGCAATAGCTTTCATATACGTTATTTTACATTTTCTAGATTCATTTAAATCTAACATAGTTACATTTTTCCATTGTACATCTGACCATAGAATCATATCCAAAGAACTTAACAATGCTCGTAGATTCTTTTCTTTGCCTGCTTTCCAAATAGTAATCTGTGAATTCACTTTGTCTTCCTTTTCTAATCGTCCCGCTTCTTCTGCTTCCTTATGCTTTTCTTTATCACGAATTGCTTTAACGGCCTTGCTATTATTGATTTCCTCCAATCCAGCGTCTGTTAAATGGGCTTTTTTGGGTGGCATAAACATATTAAAGTCAATATCAGAAAATGCAGTTGCACTGCTATTCGTACTGTTCTGGTTAGCTATCATTGATGAGGATGGGATGGTTCCCATTTAGGATTATTTGCTGCCGATCCATTTTGCATCGCTTGCTGACATCGCTTGATATCCTGTACAACAAGTGGGTTTTCTTCACCATTTATCCTTATATATTCCTCATACACTGGAAAGCTGTTTCGAAAAATGCAGACGTTCCAACGCACATGCTTTTCTGTGCAAAGATTTTAGCAATTGTGATTTCATGTTTGTATTCGTAGCGCTCATGATTTTGCTCGGTGAGGTGTTACTGTTGATATGTTTATGAGCTAGATCGCTAGCGTACAATCCACTAAACAATCTTAGAATTGGCCTTGCTTGAGTCGGGCAGCAGCGCGGTTGTTGAAGAGCAAGACACTATCGCTATGATCCGCCGGTAGGGTTTGTATTGCAAGCGTGTAGGAAGCTTACGCTTCATCTAACTGTTCATGGTTGAACAAAAATTTTGCCTTCTTTTCTTTCTTCATCCGCATAATCTGTAAGGGGATCCGTCTGAGGCGGTGGTGGAGGCGTACTGACGTGAAAGGAGGATGATGTAGTAGAGTGGGGAGACGTTTGGCGGATGTGGGCTGAGGTTGTGCATGAGGAGGAGGAGTGGAAAATGAAAAAGCTAATATAGAGTGTATCATGTTGTTTAACATTCTAATGGTCATTATTGCTCCTGTTGCCAGAATTAGGTGTGGGTGGAATCGGTTTATTCCGTCTAATTTGCGCTAAATAATCTTTTCTGCGCTTTTCACGTTCTTTCTCCATTGCTCTTCTTGCGCCCTAAGCACTGCTGGGCCTTCCTCCTCGTCTGAAAAGACACCAGCGCTGTGTGGATCATTCTGTGCAGGTGTCAAATGTTCATTCACTTAGCTTTTCCTTTTTATGTCGTCGGTGTGGTCGTGTTTTGAGATAACGTGTCCAATATCTCCTGGAAATTTCCTTTTTCGCTCGCTATCATCGCTACTTTAATAGCCTCTAGATCAAATCCCATATCTACCAATTGTGCAAAAACTTCATATCCGTTGATGTTCCATTTGGCTGTACTGAAGTTGAGCTTGTTGTCTAAATCCCAAGGGTACGAGGAAAGGTATCTCTAAATTATAACTAGCAATAAGAAAAGATTCTAGGACTTCAACTTACTTACATTTGTATAGTTTGATCTTCCAGGAATACCATTCTTGGAAGAGCTAGCATGAAGATATTCTTCCTGGGGAAGAAAAGAAAATATTTAATCAGATTTATTCCTTGGCATTTTCAACCTAACAATTCTTCTTACCTTCGATAGAGGTACTTTAAATCCAACACTATTCAACCATTTCGAGCTTCAGTTAGTTGTGAGGGCATTAGTTAGTTAAAAATAACATGCTTAACGCTTTCTAAATACCTTATAGGTGAAGTCAGACGCACTGAAGGATATTCTTTTGATCAAAAATCAAATGTACCACTCGCCGCATCTTTATAAAGAGGGGATGAAGGTGAGGATGGTAGAGAACTATTATAATTTGTACGCAGTTGAGCTTTCGTTGTAGAGTAGGGTTGTTGCGTAGATGGTAATGCTGATGTTGATGGCACGCGGTTGATTCTCGGTTGTTGTAACTGTGTAAAGGTTGACTAGAAGTAAACCGTGGTATCGAGTTAAGCTCTCTTCTTATATACATAACCTGAGGTGTTGTGAAAACAGGTACAGTTGCTTCACTTTCTTCGCGTGTCGCATACCGTCTCTGTTGCTTCTTTGACGGTTGCTGCTGCTGTTGGTGATCGGGGAGGTATATCGATTGATTGGTGTTTATCATTAAATGAACTAGGCGATTGAGGGTTAACGTAACTGTTCACATTGATATTTCCAGATGAATATTGTGCAAAACTGTCTCCCCCTTCTTTATTAGGCATTGCGGTATCTTAGACCTTCCCAAGGAGAATGGAAAAGGAATGAGGAAAAAGAGGCCTAATGACGAAGACAAAAGAATGTTATTCCCCAAAGAGACATCTGAGCTTGAATGGAAAGCGTTTGTTATGAGCTTGACCCATCTGTTAGAATCCAAACCCAACGGCTCAATGTATAAATGATACGCCAACCAAAAAGAAGAGTATAGTCTATATAATTGTTATTTTCATCTTCTAAGATGGAATGGTTTGTCCAAACAAAGAAATAGATAAAGTAAAGAAAAAAAAAAGTCTAGTTTGTAATATCTTTTAAAAGGTCTCTAAGTTCACATAAATTGGTCAAAAAGATTTTGAAAGGTGAAGCCCTATCAAAAAAAATAGCGTGCTTATCTTAAAAAGAAAAGAAAAAGAAAGAAAGAACCACATGTGTGCAGTTCTTATATCCCTTCCTCTTCATTTATCATGCGCATGAAGTACTTTTAAGCTTACTTCCAGCCATAGCCACCCTTGTGGTAACCTTTTTTAGAATCCTCCTTGCCATAGTGACCGTAGTGTTTCTTTTTTGTTATAGGACCCGGACGTTTGGCCCTTAAGGGGAAAAAAGAAAATTTATATATTTTTTAACATAAATTTATTTCCTTAATATATAAAATATTTTAATTATGATGTCAAATTATACCCAAGAATCATACTGTAGATAATCACTATATCCATTTGCACAATGAGTAACATTGTGTTGTATCCAACACCAGATTACGCGTAGATTATTACATAATGCTAAATAAGAGACTACAGATCCTTATAATGATTGGTTTAATCTTGAGTGATAGTTTTGTCAGAACAATTCTTATCGATTCCGAAAGAAGATCTCATCTGTATATACATCCGAGACAACATCATATGAGTAATTGGCTTGATTTAGAAATAAGATAATATAGTATTTGAGTTTGTATAAATTAGATAACTTTATTTTGCAGATCAAACAATATACATATATCTTATCTATTTAAGCTATTATCTATCTTGTTGATCCATTACTTTAACTCTTTACAGTCTGGCAAGATTCACAAGACTTGAACGGAGACATCGGCAGAATGGAATAGTTTTTCCTGTCTGTCTCGTCAGTTATAATGAAACTGCTGAAGTACGGGTCCAAGGAACTTTCAGTTAGGTCAACTCACTTAACTCCTCTTACCGATCCAAACGGTCAAGGCACCACTCTGTCGATTAGCCGTACAATAGCAATTGGTTATGTCTTTTCTTCTATCATTAGGTCATCTTCTGTTCAAGGGTCCCGATAGAAAAAAGTCTTTTACAATATCCACAAATATAAATAGAAGTACTTTTTTCCTACATGGTTCTTGTCTTCATTCTTTATCTGAATATTCTATTAATAAAAGAAGATAACTAGGTCTTCACAGATTTCCTTTTTGTTTTCTTTCTATTGTGATTTAATTCTACCTTATACAACACATTGGGACTGTTGAATAACAATAGAATGCATAACCTGATGTAGTTTGAATCCTACCAACCCCAATATCAATAGGAACACCATTAGCTAACCCAAATGAAATTACATTTGGTTTTTGAATACAGTAATAGTAACAACTATCTATACCCATTATTTCAGAAGCTACAAATCTTCCAGGATTAGAAACATGGTCCATATTTCTATATGAACCATTAGAATAATAACGAGGAGCTGGTAAATCTGTAGCTGTTGTTGTTACTGTATTTGTAGTAGTGGAAATTATCGGAATAGTTGTAGTAAAATGGCGAATATTTTAATTTTTTTTATTTTTTAAGAAGTTTATTAATAATATTTGTAACTAATTTGGAACTGTATATAACCATGCTGTATAATTTGTATAATCACCATAACCATTAGCACATCCTGCTCTTAGACTATCAGGTAAGGTTGTAAAACAAAAGCATGTATAACCATTGGTAACACCAAGACTACGATCAGGACTTGACATAGTTACATTATTACTTAATCCAAAATACCATGGATACGTGTTTGGGAATTTATCAGATCCCAAACAATCATAATAACATTCAGTACGTGTTATCGCTGCATTGCCCACAAGGTTTAAAGTTCTAGCAAATACTTTGCTCGCTTGATTATATACATTGTAACAAGTACCACTATTTTGATCATAACGTGGGACAGGGAGAGATGTTGCAATAGCTGTTGTGGTTACTGTTGTTGATGTAATTATTGTAGTAGTATCTGTTGTAGTAGTAGGTACTATTTCTGTGGTGGTGGTAGGAATGACCACTTCCGATGTAGTGGTAATAGGGACTACTTGCGTAGTGGTAGTAGGTACTATTTCTGTGGTGGTGGTAGGTACTATTTCTGTGGTGGTGGTAGGTACTATTTCTGTGGTGGTAGTGGGTACTATTTCTGTGGTGGTAGTAGGTACTATTTCTGTGGTGGTGGTAGGTACTATTTCTGTGGTGGTAATAGGGACTACTTGCGTAGTGGTGGTAGGTACTATTTCTGTGGTGGTGGTAGGAATGACCACTTCCGATGTAGTGGTAATAGGGACTACTTGCGTAGTGGTAGTAGGTACTATTTCTGTGGTGGTGGTAGGTACTATTTCTGTGGTGGTAGTAGGTACTAATTCTGTGGTGGTGGTAGGAATGACCACTTCCGATGTAGTGGTAATAGGGACTACTTGCGTAGTGGTAGTAGGTACTATTTCTGTGGTGGTAGTAGGTACTATTTCTGTGGTGGTGGTAGGAATGACCACTTCCGATGTAGTGGTAATAGGGACTACTTGCGTAGTGGTAGTAGGTACTATTTCTGTGGTGGTGGTAGGTACTATTTCTGTGGTGGTAGTAGGTACTATTTCTGTGGTGGTAGTAGTTACTATTTCTGTGGTGGTAGTAGGAATGACCACTTCCGATGTAGTGGTAATAGGGACTACTTGCGTAGTGGTAGTAGGTACTATTTCTGTGGTGGTGGTAGGTACTATTTCTGTGGTGGTAGTAGGTACTAATTCTGTGGTGGTGGTAGGAATGACCACTTCCGATGTAGTGGTAATAGGGACTACTTGCGTAGTGGTAGTAGGTACTATTTCTGTGGTGGTAGTAGGTACTATTTCTGTGGTGGTGGTAGGAATGACCACTTCCGATGTAGTGGTAATAGGGACTACTTGCGTAGTGGTAGTAGGTACTATTTCTGTGGTGGTAGTAGTTACTATTTCTGTGGTGGTAGTAGGAATGACCACTTCCGATGTAGTGGTAATAGGGACTACTTGCGTAGTGGTAGTAGGTACTATTTCTGTGGTGGTGGTAGGTACTATTTCTGTGGTGGTGGTAGGTACTATTTCTGTGGTGGTGGTAGGTACTATTTCTGTGGTGGTGGTAGGAATGACCACTTCCGATGTAGTGGTAATAGGGACTACTTGCGTAGTGGTAGTAGGTACTATTTCTGTGGTGGTAGTAGGAACTGGCACTTCCTCAGTGGTGGTCACAGGGATTACTTGCGTGGTGGTTGTAGGAATGACCACTTCCGATGTAGTGGTAATAGGGACTATTTGCGTAGTAGTAGCAGTAGAGGTAGTTGTCAATGTATTGGTACAATCATTGGCATTATGATCTGGGTGGGGATTGCATCCTTGGAAGGCATCGCAGGCGCCGCCAATAGCGTGGTAATCGTGGATTTCAACACCGGTACCCAAGTTGAACCAAGTATAGTCCCTACCTACGACGGTACCAGCAAAGTTACCTGTAGAACCATCAATAATATGGGCTACAAATAGAAGAGAGAATGGAGTTATTAGGCTTTTTTTTTATTTTTTCTTATTTTATACATGTCTATCGCAAAAGATTGGCTTACCTTCAGGGGCCATGGTCAAACCACCCAACTGAGAAGTAGTGGCACGGTAAACGGTGATTTCACCATCACGCAAGTAGACGCCTCGGTCGTCAACAGGATAAATGTTCCAAACAACTTGACAAGGATTGAGACTATCAAGAGGATTATTGGTTCGAAGGGTGAGGGTGCCACGATTGATGACAGGAATCTATATATCGTCGAAAAGGAGGGGGTTAAAAGAGACATATGGACGAATGGCATCGAATAATCAACAGCGTTTTTC